CAACAGGAATAAATCCTGTTGTCCTAGTATCCTTATATATTGCATATACTATCGAAGGGATGTTGGGGATCATATTTTGCCTCAAACAGACATGATTTGAGGGAGATATGAGCAAAATACAATTTATTGGGTGTGTCTGAGCTTTGCAGGTTCAATGTTTTTGTTGTCAGCCTTGTGTGGGAAAAATTCTAAAACATCAGGAGAAACATAAAAACACATCATCAGGGACTGCATCAGGTTTGCTATGATCACACCTATGTATAATATGATAGATTGGCTTCCAGTGTACTGTTCCAGTCCCTGAAACAGTATCTGTCAGTGGTATGTATCTCTAAATACAAAAAAACTCGAAATTCAAGGCAATCACTGTGCACTGGTGCAAGAAAGTTACAATCACAAGATATATACATCAGCAAAATATGATTTTGCCACACGGTTACCAGAAGGTCACAAGCTTTGACAGTGCTTACTAGACTAAGGATATGATTGTCTTAACTCAATAGTCTTAACTTGCTAGGCATAATATAAGCTTTCTTAATAACCATGACTGTCATATCTTCCATAATAATCCTAACCCTCACAGCTTATGTATTATGTAGTAATCAACAATCATATTAGACTATCAAGTGAAGACTATCGTGTAATGACTATCAAGTTAAGACTACTGTATTTTATTCTAAGTCTGTACAATAGACCTGTGATACTTGATGAGTGTCAGCCTGAACAGTATATTAAAGATCACACTATCATACTACACATAGGTATGACTATTGAAGACATGATGTAGTGCCTTATGATGTGTTTTTATGTGTCTCCTGATGTGTTGAGAATGTCCTACATTACCTCATATGTCCATGTGAGGCCATATGAATTCTGTGAACTCCTGACATTAAGGGCTATCCACATGTCAATGAACACAGTCATCTAGGCCTCACATTGAAATCATTGAAAGCATCAAACTCCTGATGCGAAAATATGATCCAAATTCTGAAGGACCCCTGAGAGTGAAGGCTATCTGCATATCAATGCCTGAAAGCATTGAGGCCCGACATCAAAATCATTGAAAGCATTGAACTTCCAATGCTGAAATTCACCTGATATATAGTATTTTGCTCCTATCTCACTCAAATCACATCTGTTTGAGATAATCAAAATTCTGATGGACCCCTGAGAGCAAGGGCTATCTGGGTGGTAATGCCCGAAAGCATCGGGACACTCAGCACTCGGAAAGCACTTGGCACTCGGCACACGGCACTTGGTACTCAGCACTTGGTAGTCAGTATATGGGATTTTGTATATATCTCACTCAAATTATATCTGTTTCAGACAATCTGAATTTTACCACACCCCTGAGATCGAGGGCTATCTACATGTTAATGCCCGAAAGCATTGAGACCCGACATCAAAAACATCGAAAGCATCGAACTTCTGATGCCAAAATTCACCCGGTATATAGTATTTTGTTCATATCTCGCTCAAATCACATCCGTTTGAGATGATCTAAATTCTGACAGGCCCTTGAGAGTGAGGGTGATCTGGGTGTTAATACCCGAAAGCATCGGGGCACTCGGAACTCGGAACTCGGCACTCGGCACTTGGGACTCGGCACTCAGCACGGAACTCAGAACTCAGAACTCGGCACTCAGCACTCGGTAGTCAGTATATACATAGTATTTTGCAAATATCTCACTCAAATTATATCTGTTTGAGACAATGTGAGTTCTGCCACACCCCTGAGATCAAGGGCTATCTACATATTAATGCTCGAAAGCATCAAGACCAGACATCAAAAACATCGAAAGCATTGAACTTCTGATGCCAAAATTCACCCGGTATATAGTATTTTATTCATATCTCACTCAAATCACATCCATTTGAGATGATCTAAATTCTGACGGGCCCCTGAGAGCGAGGGCTTTTAATACCCGAAAGCATCGGGTCACTCGGCACTCGGCACTCGGCACTCGGAACTCGGAACTCGGAACTCGGTTCTCTGCACTTGGCACTTGGTACTCAGCACTCGGTAGTCAGTGTGTGGTATTTTGCATATATCTCACTCAAATTATATCTGTTTCAGACAATCTAAATTTTGCCACACCCCTGAGATCGAGGGCTATCTACATGTTAATGCCCGAAAGCATCAAGACCTCACATGAAAAACATCGAAAGCATCAAACTTCCAATGCTGAAATTCACCCGGTATATAGTATTTTGCTCATATCTCACTCAAATCACATCTGTTTGAGATGATCTAAATTCTGACAGGCCCCTGAGGACGAGGGCTATCTGGGTGTTAATACCCGAAAGCATCGGGGCACTCGGAACTCGGAACTCGGCACTCGGCACTTGGGACTCGGCACTCAGCACTTGGGACTCAGTAAATCACATCTGTTTGAGATGATCTAAATTCTGATGGGCCCCTGAGAGCATGGGCTATCTGGGTGTTAATGCCCGAAAGCATCAGGGCACTCTGCACTTGGCACTCAGCACTTGGTACTCAGCACTCAGTAGTCAATATATAGTATTTGCATATATCTCACTTGAAATTCACCCGGTATATAGAATTTTGTTCATATCTCACTCAAATCACATCTGTTTGAGACTACATGTTAATGCCCGAAAGCATCAAGACCCGACATCAAAAACATCGAAAGCATCAAACTTCCAATGCTGAAATTCACCTGGTATATAGTATTTTATTCATATCTCACTCAAATCACATCTGTTTGAGATGATCTAAATTCTGACAGGCCCCTGAGGACGAGGGCTATCTGGGTGTTAATACCCGAAAGCATCGGGGCACTCGGAACTCGGAACTCGGCACTTGGCACTTGGTACTCAGCACTCGGTAGTCAGTGTGTGGTATTTTGCATATATCTCACTCAAATTATATCTGTTTCAGACAATCTAAATTTTGCCACACCCCTGAGATCGAGGGCTATCTACATGTTAATGCCCGAAAGCATCAAGACCCGACATCAAAAACATCGAAAGCATCAAACTTCCAATACTGAAATTCACCCGGTATATAGTATTTTGCTCATATCTCAATGCGAGACAAAAGATTGGAAACAAAACTCAAAATTCGAAACTCGAAAGTACTGACTACCGAATACCAAGTACCGAGTACTGAATCTCGGGTCTCGGTACTCGGTATTCGGTACTCGACACGATGCTCGAAACTCATAAAACTGTTTCGAATCACCGAGTACTGACTACCGAGTACCGAGTACTGAGTACCGAGTACCGAATCTCGGGTCTCGGTACTCGGTATTTGGTACTTGACACGATGCTCAAAACTCGTAAAACTGTTTCGAATCACCAAGTACTGACTACCGAGTGCCGAGACCCGAGATTCGGTACTCGGGACTCAGTACTCGACACGATGCTCGAAACTCATAAAACTGTTTCGAATCACCGAGTACTGACTACTGAGTACCGAGTACCGAGTACCGAATTTCGGGTCTTGGTACTCGGTATTCGGTACTCGACACGATGCTCAAAACTCATAAAACTGTTTCGAATCACCGAGTACTGACTACCGAGTACTGAGTACCGAATCTCGGGTCTCGGCACTCGGTAGTCAGTACTCGGTGATTCGAAACAGTTGTACGAGTTTTGAGCATTGTGTCGAGTACTGAGACCCGAGATTCGGTACTCGGTACTTGGTGGTCAGTACTCGGTGATTTGAAACAGTTTTACGAGTTTCGAGCATCGTGTCGAGTACCGAATACCGAGTACCGAGACCCGAGATTCAGTACTCGGTACTTGGTATTCGGTAGTCAGTACTTTCGAGTTTCAAATTTTGAGTTTTGTTTCCAATCTTTTGTCTCGCATGCCGAGTGCCGAATTCCGGGTGTCGGGTGTCAATACTCGGTTCTCAGTACTCGGTACTCAGTGATTCGAGTCTCGAGACTTGTGACTCGTGATTTACAAATCGACATTTGAAACTTGTGATTTCTGAGAACAATGTGTATTATCTTATGTATTTCTGTACTCATTTCACCGACTACCGAGTGCCGAATCTCGGGTCTTGGGTCTCGGTATTTCAAGACAACAAAAATGTATATCATCTTAAATTTGAATTTTCTTAACTCGAGCCTCGAAACTCGTAAAAATGTACAATACCTAGGCCTATCTGTCTATATGATATGTATCTGGGCCCACCCGTCTATCTAATACATAATTCACCTCACCCTTGGCCCACCTGTCTATCTAATATTACCCGACGTCGGCCCACCCATCTATGTAGAATTCCCCACGTCGGCCCACCCTTCTATCTAATATGACCCCACGTCGGCCCACCCATCTATGTAATAAATAATTCCGCTCACCCTCGGCCCACCCGTCTATCTAATATTGCCCAACGTCGGCCCACCCATCTATGTAGAATTCCCCACGTCGGCCCACCCGTCTATCTAATATGACCCCACGTCGGCCCACCCGTCTATGTAATAAATAATTCCCCTCACCCTCGGCCCACCCGTCTATCTGATATTACCCCACGTCGGCCCACCCGTCTATCTAATATTACCCCACATCAGCCAACCCGTCTATGTAATAAATAATTCCCCTCACCCTCGGCCCACCCGTCTATCTGATATTACGCCACGTCGGCCCACCCGTCTATCTAATAAATATTTCACCGCTCCCTCGGCCCATCCGTCTACAAAATAATACTAATACGTCGGCCCACACGTCTATATAATACTATTTGCTATACATCTCTCCTCAGGTCTATAATATATGTCAATCCTACTCTACATATTACCCACATGGGCCCACCCATCTCCATAATAATATTTCTCCCGGCCCATCCGCTATCATCGATGATATATATAACATTAGCATAGATGGGCCCACCCGTCTCCATCGGAAATAATATGCCTCCCGGCCCACCCGTCAACATCGGGAATATACATAACATCGGCCCATAATCCGCTGGCCCGTATTACACGGGATATTATGTAGGTCGGGTGACCCGTATAATACGGGATTTGTCACTGAAGGGGCTCGCGCTTTGACGCTGTGCTAGTGAGCAAGCCTAGGCGTGATTTCTTCTTTGCGGCCTCTAGTAAATCCTTCCAAGAAGGAGGATAGAAGCGAATGTTCTGCGCAGTTGCTTTGATCATCCGCGTTCTCTTGCGTGGTACTACAACCTCCTCTTCAGAAGAAGATTGAGCTGAATCTTGAGTAGTAGCGCAACGACGCAAAGTCTCGAGCTCATCCAGGTCAGGCATGCGAGGGCGACAGTTCTTTGCGCGATGGTCTTGGAGGACATCTCGGGCATTGTGTGAGCTGTCGGCGACTCGTGAGCATGCACGAGTGAATTCATCTGCATAAGGCAAGTGGGCAAGTTCAGTAGCATGATGGACACATGCATGGGATATCTTACCATCGTTGCTATCTTTCGAGGTGTCATGATCCTGGTGGGGGTCGTCAACAAAACTGTCACCATCATCCTGGTCTACACCCAGATTATCAACATCAACATCCTGGTCCGCCTCCCCACTATCACCATCATTGCCATGGTCCACCTGCACGTCATTAGTTCTAGCATCCGAGTTGTCCAGATCAGAATTGTTAGCATCCACATCGTGATCTCGTCCCGAGTCGTAGCCCTCATCGCCATGTAGAGGAGCCTCGGCATCTGAAATATTCATCCGTGATGGACGAGTGTAATCGGATTCCAGGTCAGTGGGCGGATTGCTGTCACTGGTGACGGTGTGTCGAGGGATGTGTTTGGACACCGGTGGTTTACGACTAGCATTACAGTGAGGACGTGGATCGTTGCGTTTCTGTGAATGAGCACCAGCGGGGGTGTGTTCAAGAGGGACAGGTTTGGATGCTGGTAGGGCACGGCTAGTATCTGACTTGGAATGATGACGCAGATTGTCGTGTTTCCGCGAATGGGCGCCAGTGAGGGTGCGTTTGGGCGTGTTAGGCTGGGAGGATCCTGATGGTGTACTGTTGAACCTAGAGAGAGCACGGATGAAATGGCGTTCGGAGGTCGCAGGTGGAGGTGGGACAAAGCCAAACCTTGAGTCGGGACTACGAGGATGCGAAGTGGGCTTGTCCTCAGCAACACGCTGTGGTAAGTTGGAGCTTGAAAGATGTCGTTCAGTCTTCTCATTGCTTGATGTCTTAGTCGCCTTGATTGGTCTTGCCCTTGGTTTGCGTATAGGTGCCTCCGGCGCCATGACATTTACTGGTTGGCTGTCTATCATCTCCTGAGCGGGGTTTTTCTTCACTGGACGTTGTCTATTCATCTGTGAGGACTCGAGCTTTTGAAGTTGGGTGAGGCGTCCACCTTGACCCATGTTACTTCGCTTAGAGCGACGGAGGTCATCTGCAGTGCTACATATCAGTTTTGTTATATAGAAATCAGTGTACTCACCAAGATCAGGTACTATGGTCTTGCGTTTGCCTGCCATCAAACGTTGAACATGAACCCGAAGACAAGAAGTATAACATTCCATGTACTAGTAAGTACTACTTATTTGAAACTCCGCGCGGTAGTGCGGAAAATGGCGCTGGGGTACTAGGTACAACAAGAAAATAGAACAAAATGGTCATGATGAAAGTGTAGTGAGCAGTGAAAGATATACGTCTACAGGGAGCCAAGTTCCATCCCCCTCACCAAGACCTAGACATTTGAATCATCACTACTCAGTCCAGAGGAAGACTCGGTTCCAGGTGTTGCTAGTTCCGAGGAGGAAACAGTCTCGTCGCTTGTGTCGGAGACGTATGCAGAGCTGATTGAAGATTTGGTGTTCTCTTGGTTGTCCGCCTGGACATGTCCAGAGGATAATGCCCTCCTGATCGAGGGCCTGGTATTCTCATCTGTGGTAGGATTGTCCACACGACGACGTTTCGTACCAGAGAATTGGCGACGGTACCAATCGCAGTAGCGGGCGTGGGCAGTTTCATAAATGGCAACTGACATGGAGGAACTGTCAAGCTCCCAATTGAATGTAAGTGCGCTGGGAGTGAGGAGATGCCTATGATTTACGCTGGGTTCGATTAAGTCAAGGGTGCTGCTCATCGTGGCTTTCACGAGATCCAAGCCATGGTTCAATGCGTCAGTCACATTGTCCATGTCAATATTCGGAAAAAGTGTCTGCAAAGATACTACTTGTCAGCATAAATATTCTTATCATTGCAACATTAGACTCACGCCGTGCGCCGTGGGAGGAGCAGCCAAGTCAATCCGCTGATCCCCAGACTTCACCCACACAAAATAATCGACAGACTCAATATCAATCCACTCATGCCCCATTGCTATTACTGGCCCAAATAACTTGTCGGAAGTGCGTTCAGGTGCGAACTCACTGTAAGTCCGCACCGATCCCTCTTCACGTGTCTGATTCCAAGTAACAGAGTTTGCTGCGGGGGAGGCATATTTCTTCCTTTCTTTGACCAAGATCATAAGAATGAGGAGGAGCTCTTCGTGCGATAGAAGAGTATCCTCCATTTTCGTCATGATGGCAACCCGAGACTGAGTGAATCCAGATTCGGCCATCCAGAGAAGTTGCGTCTCAGTGGCTGTCGTGGTTGTGGGTTTCATGGTCACCTGCATGTCGGGTATAGTGAAGAGGTGTTCGGAGTACATCCGACTATTGGTTAAGACGGAGGTCTTCAAGAGGGTTCGGTTGTACTGAATGCTGTGAAGAGCATGTGAGATCGTGAACGACATCTCAGATGTTGTTTCTTCATGGACAGGGAGCGGAGAGTATATGATGAGAATCATCCTGTGAGGAAAATATGACATCCTACAACAACATTGACATAAGAAAAATGTTTGACTGAATTTATATATGACGTACTTTGTGTGATAGTTAGAAAATGTGAGAGCGTCCATGTGCTCCAAAACACGGGCATGATTTTCGGCAGAGACATTGATAAAGCATACAGGTTCCACCCATACCTGCCGAAGAGCATCTACGAGTTGCTCGTGGCACCCATCTAGTAGCGAACTATGAGAAACAATAATATTTAGTTGACCAGCACCCTTACCTGGGTTTGCAGCGATAACATGTGTGATACCCAAAACCTGATCATGCACGACTGCAGTGTCGGCTTCGGACTTGGCGGTTGCTACAGTTTCAGTCTCTGGCACCACTGCTGGGGTGTTTGATGATTTACCTATAATATGTAAAGTAAGCAATCTATGCTGAGATTAAGCGATCCGTCAGCATACAAGTCACATCTGCAGAACGCGGGGTCTCTGTCTTAGGGCCACGTCGTTTTGATCTGTTGGAGATCCATGAAGATGTCGTGGATAACACTGGCATCCCTGGAGTCGTTGGTTCGTTTTTCGTATCGGATCCGGGTTTTTTGCCTCTGGAGTTACGAGCTGTATAGTAGTATGCATCTCCTCCAAAGTCTCCAAAGACCGCAGCCATTAAAAGACTTCAAGGAACAAAGAAACTGTAACTGACGTGTCAGCCTACATGGTTTGGGTGCTATGCCGCAGCGACTCTCACGATGGGCTAAAAACAAGGGCCAATGAAAAAAACCACCATTCTAGTGAATACCCCTATCTGTCTAATGCTAAGAGCTTATCTACTAGTCACATGAAGCGCAAAGAAAAGCTCCTTATTCCAGAATTTATTCAGGTAAAACTCTGTGGCATGGTTAATGCTGCTTTGCATCGTCAGTCGCGGATCGGCTTTTGGACCAAAACGCGGGATGAGATGGACGGGTGCCACAATCTGAGTTATTGGGATGACATCGCCAATCCGGTCATTATTCGCTCGTCGAGCACGCCTGAGAATATACATACCCGTAGAATCGTCGAGAGTCACAACATCCAAACGTTCAACATATGCAAGATATGATTCGGAATATGAGAGTGTCGTGATGGGACGAAAAATCAAGCGAAGGTGAGCAACAAAGTGTCCTGCGTTTGTCAACATCAGTAGCGTGACGGTATAGACATAAAAACATACCATCCAGTCCACTTTTTGGCCACTTGTGCGTGTTGCCTGAACTAACGATGACAGAGTCATATCGGCCGTATGGCCAGGCACTGGAGGGTGGTTGAGCATGTAGCGTTTGCGCGGGCTCAAGCTGTGCAGGGTCGTGAAAAGATTTTGATTGTGTCCGTATCTTGCACCATACTTGAATGCGTTCAAAGGGGAGGGGGCAGCCAGGGTGGGCATGGCGCCTCCCACCAACAGCGAAGTGATCAACATGCGCATCAACCTGGTCAAGATAATCGGAGACTGCGGGACGGAGGTCAGGAAGAGAGAAGTTTTCAGCAGCCTTATCCACTGTCATTTTCGTGTGCGTGGGGTCATAGCTGAGATGGTAAGCGTTAATTGAGGTGGAGAATGTTCGATAGGGACGGGGAGCTTGAGGATGAACACCATTAATGAGGTCGCGCGCGCAAGCAAAGTAGTCCTTGACAAAATGCTGGACAAGACCACCCTCGTTGTCTTCGTCCCTTTCGTGGTCCTCCTGTGCACGCATCTGGAGTGCGAGGTCAAAACGCTCCACCTTATCACGACGATCGAGGTGGCGACACACTTGCGCGTCGTAGTCGTGATTGTTCCCTGCCCTCGCTGGCTCCTTCACAACCTTGATGTGCGCATGTTCAGTGGGGTCTGCAGACCACTGCATGACAGCGCCGTGTGAACAAATACTGGGCACTACCCCCTGCAGCAGCTCGAGCTTTGGAATCGCCCATGGCTTATCCCCACCCCCTTTCCCCCGCCGAGCACCAGCGTCAACGATAGACTGTTTGAACCGATGAAAGACTTTAAGACAGCGGTCTAAATCTACCACTTGCTTGTCGGTGAAATGCGGGGCTTGAGCAAGGTATCTAAACTCCATGAGGGCCCGAATAGCAGATATGAAGTCGGCAGGGGCAGCACCAGCAATCACGCCAACGATATACCGTTGAACGTTGCGATGGTCTTGCCCGGTGGCTTGCTTCAAAGCGGAGATTCCCTCCTTGAATGCACGGTAACCAGTGCACACCTGGAGGAGCGCAAAACGAAAATCAATTTCCTGCGAGCCAACCACTGTTGTGCACCAGAGACGATCATGGTCCCAGAACATTTTATGGAGATGGTGAAGTAGTTCTGGAGTGAGGAAGGAGGAAGGATTTGCGGTAAGCCAATTCCTCCAGAATGGCAAGTCAACACCGTTTAGATTGTAGCGTTTGCATGCCTCGAAGAACGGGATGAGATCGGAAGGTGAGATAGATGTTATAATCGCTGCAATGTTGGCAAGGGTTGATGATCCATCACGAGGAGGGTGTCGGATTGGGTCTCCAAAGTCTTCACGGGTAGCCATAGTGACAGGCGATGAGTTCATAGTGGCGCATGCAATTACAAGTTCCTCCGGAGTATCTGCGACATAAGCAACGAGGGGGGTGAAGCAATACCTGCTAAAACCCCGTGGATCACTCATCATAACGCCAAGACGGGCAGCCTGCTTCAATGGCTCAACAACGAGGTCGATACATTGGTGAAGTAAACGGTCTGTGAGAACCCCATGCATGCGCTTGTTCCTGTGCAAGAACTTTGCAACAGGAAGCAAAGCAAGTGGGATATATGCATGTAAGGAGCCTTTGGCACACACTCCAGGATCAATATTGGCGAGACTAACAAGAAGTGGATGCGCGTAACGGTTGCCAGCGATGTTGCTGACCTTGGTCTTGTCCGAGGAGAGGACTACACCAAGGAGGGATGCACCTTCAGGTAGGTCTTTCTGTGGTCTTGTTAGTTATACAGAACGAGGAATCAAGACACGAGACCTTACCTGAAGGTTCCAAGCATGATCGCCTGTCATGAAACCATGATAAACTCGAACCGCACGTTCGGCAGACTCGTAAACCTTGCATGGGATGAAATCAAAGCTGGCGGCCAACAGTGGGTGACTGAGAAGTGACTGCAAGCACTCGATTGCGTCCCGATAAAATATTTGAAGGGTTTTTGTCGTTGGAAACTCGGTAGTGATTTTTTGATACTTCCATTGAGGGGGAGCTGGGAGCAATTCAACACGTCCTCGGAGTTCTCGCGAAGAGCGAAATGACAACGGGAGTGTTTTGGTCTGAACATAAGTTTAGACGAAGAAATTTAGAGGATAGATGAACTCACAAATTCAAGATTGAGGTACTCGTCGATTTCGGCCATGCTAAGATCGGACCGAAGAATATACGATGCCATCTCCCAGTCCGGTTTGCTAGCGAAAGGAAAGTATTGGTTTTGCTCCCTCTCTGCAGCATATTCATCCTCGTTGAATTGGTCCATGAAAGTCTTCCCAACACCCCACGTCTTGCCTGCACCGTCATAAAACTCCACTTCTTCACCGTAATCTGCCTGCGAGCCTGAAGACCCATACTCCGCTCCAGTGTCTGCATCAACTCCATGGTCCATATACTCCAGGTCAAAGGTCGGGTCCGTGTCGTTGTGGAGAGGAAATTGAGGACTTGGAGCTTGTGCTGGTCTTAAGATGCAAACTAGGTTACCATCCCACTTGTAACAGTGAGAAGAAGGCTGATTCAGGTGTTGCAGAAAGCGTCCCTCATTCTTAAAACGCTTGCTGCAGGAGGGGTAGCGCATATCGAAGGTGCGAAGTAAGTCATTGAACTCATTTGGATTCAATATTGTCCCGGCAATTTCCGGGACGACGCAAACTGTAACTACAATGTCGAAGTGTCGTTCAAGCTATGCCTCACCATCTCAATCATCTCAATCCCCGTATTCGCTATGTCGAGGCCAACAAATCTCAGATTCTGTAACTCCTTCCGACATCTCAGATGATACATCTGACTCCTCGGAAGTGTATAATATGGTGAGTTATGGGCTGGATTCTAACACTTGCCTTGAATCAGTTTTATCTACAGTACATACGCCGCTACCCAAATGAACCATTTGACGCTTACATGGACTCAATGCCGGAGACTTCAGAGGAAGCATCTTACCTGCTCGAGATGGCACGAGCTGATCTCGAAGTTCGACGTCTCGAGAAGGACCTTGCTGAGCGGCTTCTTCATCAATTTCGCATGCGCAAACACCACCTACAACTTCGAGCGAAGAGGGCAAAGAGAAATTTTGGAGATGCGGAAGCTAATGTAGGGCACACACGCGCTCTCGTGGTGAGGTGCGGGTTTGTCTGCTCAGAGCGGTCACTTTGGTCTCCTCGTCCAAAATCCACCATCAAGTCATGTAAGCGAATTCGTTCTTAAAATCGGTATGCAGTCGCTGATGAGTACAGCTGATTAGAATATCTGTCTGTTGGATGTTGCATTGTGACCATAGCCTTGTACTGTGTACATGATTGTCAATACATATACGCATTGCACATTTTATATTTTAGCTATCTGTTGAAGTACTTTATTAAATGAATATAAGTTGTCACGCTGTGAAATGCATTCTCCGAGATCTCGTGTTTTGATGAAGACCAGCAAGATATTGATATTAATCTATAATTTACATCACATTTTATCGCCTGACCCTGTGCACTGTGCGAGACTGTGCCGCACTGTCACTCTGTGCGCTCTGTGCGCTGTACCACTGTGGGGCTGTGCTAGTTGTGTCGCTGTGGGAATCTTGTATCCAAAACCGGTAGTTTGCTGATGAACCGTACCCCTCACGTATGTCAACCCCTGGACATGTCTTCAGCACTTACGACAATTCAGATACCGAAGCGATTGGCAGCCCGTCTGGCTCTTATCAAGCCTACACATCCTCAATGGCACCACGCTCCGCATGGCACACGCCGACCTCACATCAACCTATCATTCAAGCACCGAGTCTCCCTAGCGTTGACGACGAGTCTGAGTCCGAGTTCGAGTATGAATGTCCTTCCCCACTTCCCATGTATTCTAACTTGAAGAGAAACCATGATGCGGTTGATGACAGCATATAGACACCTCCCCACAAGGTCCTCAAGCTCGATGCATGACATGCTCTGGTTTTTGAGCGCCTGGCACTGAGAACGTGGTTTTGATCATGTGCTGGAAGGCAGTATTAGAGTGAGACAGCGGAGATGTGAAAAAAGGCACACACCAGAACATTAGATACTGCCTCAGCGCCAACCATAGTAGCACGAGCAACAATAATCCCACATGGACACACAACTATCTGCTCGTTGTGAGTGCGACTGCGACCGAATTTTGCCCTAAGTTTGCGGTTGCCAAGGTCAGACTTGCCATCACAGGTATTGCTGCGTTGCATGTCTGACTCGCCAGTTGAAGAGGGGTTATGGATGGCAAAGAGCTGGATGGATTTCGAACCAGGGTCGACCTTGTACCATTCATCTCTAAACTCCAGATCAAGGGCATCCGCAAGTTGGTCTGCGACCATGGCATCATTTGGCTGGGCTGCTCCAAGCCGTTGGAGGCACTGAACAGCCTGAAAGTTGGCGCGCATCTTTTCATTGTGAAGTTTCTCCATCTCCTGGTGCGCTGGATGGCCACATGCTTTGTGTCCTGTGATCACAGGAGCATTGCAGCTCTCGACTGCGCAAATGTTGTCGAAGCCTTCATCAAGATGAGGCTGACAGAAACGCTGACGGTTATTAGCGAGTGGATTTCGACACCTGAAGACATTGCAGCATGGGCGACCCATTGAAAGCCCATCCGTAACAACCACCTGGACTTTACGAGCACCGCCATGCTGGTCCCAGTATGTGCGCATACATACATCACAGTAGTGGCGAAGTGCTGGCTGACCTTGACAGATGATGCATTCATTGTGAGCCCTCATGGCTTCACAGAAGTGGCGGTTCTGGAAACCACCATTGGGTACGTCAAGGCATACACCTTGTTGTTTACAGTCTGCAGTAAGCGCAAGGACTAAGAAAGCATCCCAGACGTGTTCGTTCTTCAACTTGAAGCCAAAGCGCCAACCAGCCTCTTCTAATGCAAGTTCCTCTTTGGCAGACAAAGCGCTATCATATATGAGAGCGCATGCTTGTGCTGAGACACTGAAAGTACACGTTAGTATTGGTGCAAGGGAGAAAAACATCAAAAGCACGCACTGGCTTTTGAGGTGCAGCTCTGTCCACAAGTTGGCAACCTTGCAATCCACGAAGTGATGGTCAGACACCTGTATGTAGTCTGGAATACCGTCATAATACCAACGCCGGTTTGCTGAGATAGAAAAGTTGTTCTGATATATTGTGCCACATGCGCGACAGGTAAGATGGATGGACCAGGCTGGTACGATGCCATGGAGGGTATGTAATACGACTTGGCGAGATTCCTCTTTTTTAAGCGGTAGCTGCATCTGTGCAGAGGGACAGTCGGCACGTGTACAATGTGTATGAGGAGGATAGAGCGTAATTGATGCTAAAAGCAAGTAGATGAGCCAATAGAACGCTACAGCTGGCTCATAAGACTTACTCAAGCCAACACGATGACCATGATCTCAAAAGGATTGTCGGTGCTGAATATCAAGCTCTGATAGGGTTGGCATGGTCCAAATTACCTCTCGGAACGCACTCCAGCAGACATCAACCATAGTAGCAGTGTCACGAATTCCAAACACAAATCATTATTCTTTCTTGAACACTCGTGAAACCTCTAAAGACATTTGTAAGACACCCGTTAAGCGCCCATCACAAGCGCCTGTTGTTAGTGCTCAGTCAGTGTCTGTACCCATAACCTTCACAAACCCTAACCCGAACTCATCTTTCGCATATCCGAACTTCTCTATTCCATTAGCGCCCACTACTTTTATCTCCGACATTCCCGATTTCGATTTCCTTTCACAAGCGATCAAGTCACGTGACTCTAGAACCTTCGAGAACCCTTACACAGCTGTTACACGTTTCATGACATCATAGGTGTAGTTATATTTAGATCATCGTACGATTCCCTTTTCTATTTAATGATTGGCTAGTTAGTTCAGATTCAGATTCAGTCTCCGCTTCAATATATGTATATAGGTAGCTCATTGTAGTCAGTAGTTCTTTAGTTCAAACCTCTTTTGTATTAGCTCACTGCTAGCAATCCTAAGACGTCCCTGCTCATATCTTCTTTTTGTTGTGATACCTTTTGTTTGAGTCCTAGTCTCTGCCCCTGCGTTAATTCGTCAAAAGGGTTGTGACAAGCAGAGAGCCGAGTGCTTGTAGATAGAAATTCATGTATAGATGGTGGTAGCAAGTCAGGTGGGACGTCATCCGGAACTGAGCACACCTGTGGAAGCATGATATCCCGCCTGAGTGAGGATGCACGAAAGACAAATGCGAGGATCTCTTGAAATGAAAGTTCACCAAGTAGCTCATGGCGCCTCAGTGCCTCTAAGAAAGGTAGTGGTGTTGTTGACGGGCTTAAGCAGCATGTTGGAGCCATGAGCGATAATGTGGGGATGGATAGCACTCATACAATATATTTTTGATGCAAGAGCGGCTGACTACTAGCGCTGAACAAACGCCACATACTATACATTGCAGACTGCTGAGACGCTTAGGGTTAGGGTTGGTCGGAACTCAAAGTTCAAAATCCGACTGTTTCACTGTTTAAGCCGCCACACTCTGCCGAATCCGCCGTACTTTGCGCCGTACTTTTTTGCGCCGTACGGTTGGTTTTCGGGACGTTCTCGAAAGAAACGATCATTTTATTACATAAGATGCTCCGGATCAAACTTCTCGCTGTCTTATCAATGAGCTGACGAGGGTACTTACTATATGTGGTGCCTGAGTTACATCAGTAGCGTAGTTAGCCAATGAAAATCGTTTATCGTTTATCGTTTATCTCGGGCCTCGGTGCTCGTACCTTCCTTATTCCGAAACACTAAGCCCCGCTTCTCGTCGATGCATCAATCATCCCTTCGTACATAAGTGCTAAGCGCCAACATACTGAATACCATTCTCGCTTACAGAGCAATAGTTCTGTGCCCCCCTAAAGCGCAACGGCTCTCAGCAGTCCTCCCCGGTGGACAGACAGTAATATATCTGCATCGAATCAAACGGGACAAGTTGATCACAGAGCTCCTGATCCTGAATCACTTCGTCCGCGCTTGGGACAATGAGTCTGGTTATTGGACCAAACCCGCCAGGTACCTCATTGTAGCGTGAGTTATCCCCCATTGACAGCATGGAAATGACACTGAAGCTGAAGCCTTCGTGCGATACAGCGCGTCACCCCATAAACCCATATTCAGTCTTGTAACTCACCACGAGCACATCTCCCTCTATGTATCTACCGACGGTATGTGGAACGTGTGTACACTGTTGGATCCGGCGATGGTTGCAACAATTGTGACTCAGATGAGATCACTCTGTTGACGAAGAAAGATATGTCAAAGATCAATGAAGCCTTGGCGAATCCGGTCGGGACATTGGGGATCGGCGATTTGGGCTACTAGTCAACAGTGTAATCTGTAACTTCGTCAGTGCGTGATAGCCACGATATCAATCAAAAATACGGACGGACGGTGAAGCAGATACTGTGAACGATTTTAAATGACTGACTTCGTATGCTGCTGATGTCACAGTCGACACCTCGCCGGTTCGTCATGAAATAAGAAGGTGCTGTAAGTGGGACGTTGGTCGGATTGGCACAGCACTATTGTAAGTCGCTGTCGGGGACTGGCGCGGCCGAGCGCCGTTTGATAAATAGACTCTTGTCGAGAAATTTACGCTTGCCCCGCCAAAAAGTTACGTGATCTCGATCACCACATCAGTAAGAATACAAACGTTCATAATAAACTAACCTTGCATGTCCTGCCAATGGCGGAGTGCTCGGACGCGAACCAGGTCGATGCCCTGCTGGGATTTATTAGTCAAGCGGCGACCCAAGCGAACATGCAAGCGCGGTGAGACGTATGTAGCGAGGACATAGCAAGACCCTGCTGCAAGAGCATCTGCTCATGAGTCAGATACCCGCCGCAATACTTGACTGTCGATGAGAGCGAATGTCCACGCGTGACTCAAGTATCAGAGGAGCTCGCGAGTGAAGGAGACCTCGAATTAGCGCTCAGTGCTCTACAGCAAATACTGCAGCAGGCTGTGTGGCTTCGGACGCCCGAACATGATTGTGCGATGGAACGTGAGAAGCAGGTATGAGGACGAAAGCACATGCTGTATCATGCACAGGATCGAAGAGCTTCTTAAGAGAGGGTAGATGCACCTACCAGCCTGCGTGCGAGCCCATCATTATCAGACGAGTGCAGCTAGCCTCCTGGTAATACTCTCATCTCGACCTGCAGCACGAATCAACTGACAATTGACTTCAGCAGGGAAAGTTCCGCAGCGGTCCATCAAGTTGGGCATCTTCCAAGTCTCCATCAACTTCAGGCCAATAGCATACAAGGAGGTCCTTCAAACACATCTTTTGAAATAACCAGTGACGACATCCGCCATGGCTTCCAGCTCGACGCAGCCCGGTGTGGCATCAAACAAATTGATTCTGACACCAATCATGACCTTGAAGGTACGTGAACCTTCTCGCTACTATTCAAATGGTAAGGAACGGATTGGTAAGCGAGGCGTTATATCCACTTGCTACTTTCCGGATGGCAAGCAAATGATCAGCGGATCATGGGAAAAGCCCATTCGACGATGGGACCTGCGGGCTGGTAAGGAGGTTGAGGAGGAGATGCGAGAAGTTTGTGATCAGGAACTACTATATGCGGTGGGGGTATCAAGGGGTGGTCGATGGCTTGTTACTGCTGGTGGAACTCTCGACGCGCACTCAGGGGATCTCAAAGTTTGTGAGATTGCGACAGGGAACGTGAGAAAATTTCAAGAATATTCGAGGAAATTCAAGCATGACACCTGCATCGACATCTCTGCAGGCAGCACACTGCTGGCGAGCGGGTCGGGCGATAGCACAGTGCGCATATGGGAACTGGACACTGGGAAACTCGTTGCCGGCCCATTCAAAAGGGATAAGGGCGGGGTGGGCACGGTTCGGTTCTCGCAGGATTTGAAGAAGCTCGCAGTCAACTCAAGAACGGCAATGTGGCTTGAAGTGTGGGATGTCGAAACACAAAAATTGGATGTCAGAGTGGGGAAAGTTCGTGCACGAAGGCCAGTGACTGATGTGCCGGTGTTTTGGACAACCAAAGACAAAACACTCGTGACCGTATTGAACTTCAATGACGATGACAACTCCTGGGGTCAACATACAATCTATGAATTCGACGCGTTAACACTCAAGACTGTCGGAACACCGACGTCATCACTGATCTAGCACTTTCATTCGATTGTGCTCTTCTCGCTAGCGCTTCCAATCTTCGGGGCAACATCAAACTCTGGGCCTTCGAGTCTCGCCAACTCCTCGCTTCGTTTGACATTCAGAGTCCCCTACACCTTCTCTTCTCACCCAACTCGCCCCCGGAGCTGGCTTACTCGAATGGCAGCGGGATCCACATATGCAACATTCCGTCTAAGATCATTGCTAGTATCTGGCCTAACGTATGCATCTATGCACATATATCTATCCGTTCGTATGCTAACATTCTCTTCCAGACAAGTGTAGCTAAAAATCCTCGCCTCGCTGATTTACTCAATGTACGTGACCAGCTATTCACCCACACCGCTCCACTCAATGTCATTATATATAACAGTCCGACGCAACACCTCGTGGTGTGCGTCGTAAACCAGTCATCTCACATGTTCCATCTTTTGCTCCTCGGCCGCAAAGACCTTCCCCTGCCATACACTCATGGCGACCTGCCTTCCTCCGTCATCTCCGCAAACTCATTCCTTCTTCCTCTCCAGCTCCTCCTGTGCGGAATGATCATCCCCGTGATCCCCTGGATGTATGCCTCGTCTACCCATTTACTTCATATTTGACTTGACGATTCTTTGCAGTTCCCTGCTACATCTCCCCTACCTCACAACTACTCACACTCGGCGCAGGAAGCAACTAAGACTCATTCACGTATAAATGCCTACGAGAACGTGAGTGTCAACTGCCACAGTCATATCTTCGACTTACATTTTTCAGTCTCGGTCCCAACCAGCACTATCACCCATCACACAGTCACGCCTCCACCACCTATCAAGCTGGTGGCCCATTCGTATAGGTCATACATCTCCGCCTATCGTCGACGTTCCTCTCGCCCCGGGTAAACTAGTATGCACGATTCACTTTTCTTACTGTGGTCCGGGTCTCACATCCGTTTCCAGCGCACCGCTACAGCTGGTGCTCCCACCCATGACGACGACGACTTGATTCGTGATTCGTGATGAAGACTATGTTTCCCCGTGTCCTTCACCGAACTATAATTCACAGCAATCGCCCGCAGTGCTCACCGACACCGGAACACATGGAAGTAGGGTACCGCACGGGTAACACCGAGGGTCGGAAAGTTGACACCGCACCCGCACCCGCCAACACCGTACCCTTCACGGGTACGGGTACACACCGACCCGTCAATGTCGCGGTTTATGGAAAACACCGCGGTGTCTCTGAACACCGCGGGTACATTACCAAGAAGAGTGTATTAAGTATTAACAACAATGAAATAAAATAGTACTACTTTTCCTTGTCATTCTCCTCTGCTTCGACTTCATTTCGCTTCCGTTTTTGAGTCCTGACAGCGGCTAAAAGGTCCTCCATCACCAGAAGATCACTTCTGCCCCGGCGACCTGCACAAAGAAGCTCGCGGAGTTCACGATCATTGATTATATTAACTGGGTGATTACTTTCAGTGATCCATTTCACGAGACGAGCACTGAAACTAATGTTAGCATGCAAAAATATCCAGATTCAGATCATTTACCGAACTTCTGGGTTCGTGTGTGTCCGATGGGAGTAATGGACGGGCTGTTGGCCTTGACGTGCAAATGCTGCGTAGACAGAGCCACTATTAGCACCAGCATCCTTGCCCTTCATGGCGTTGTTGACGGCATCCTCGCCAAAGCATCCAATGGCATGGTGCTTCAGATTAGTCGTCGAGGACTTATCCTTTGTATCCTGATAGCGGCGCACACCACCTAAAGCTGTCTTACACTTACGCGCACCACACGGGAAAAAATGACACAAGCGGCCATTGTGGTGTTGGACCACAACTTCGGATGAAAAGAAACTATAGATAGGTGACCGCCAAGTCTTCTTGAGAGCCTCTGTATCATTGTATAATCAGATATTTGCAAAAATCAATGGAAAGAAACATACCAAGATCTGCAGAAGGATCGGGATCAGGCTCGAATGCACCTGCCGTTGATTTGTTATCGTCAGTGGCAAGTGAATCAGTACTTGATCGCGTAAGATCAACGGTGTCTGTGGGGCTCGATCGAGAAGACCGAGACACAAATGACTGCTTGACCTTCTTCAAGGGGCGGGCCAGAGCCTTAGCACCCTTTGCAACAGCCTTTTTGAGTGACCTGGCCTTCTCGGAGATGGACGACGAGATAGACTTAGATGATGAGTGTGACTGGGTAGACGAAGCATCAGATGCCTTCTTTGTGAGCTTAGTTTTCATGGGGAGACGACTCAGTGGACTTACTGGTCTCGAGTTTTTGCCTTGGCTTTATGGTAGTGACTCGAGCTTCTCTGCAACGAAGTGTCAGCTCAATAAATTGCTAGAATGATTCACGGGGGTACAAAAGACATGACAGAAATCAGTATAGCATTCACTTGTGATCCTCAAGCTCTCAGAGGAAGGAAAAACAGAGAATCAAACACGGTGTTCAATGGCTGTTGCGCGCCTGGTTCCCGATTTGGTATATTATACCCGCCCAAACACCGTCAACCCGCGGTGAATGGCCACGGTATGCTCAAGGGTACGACTATCCTACTCCGTACCCATACCCTCCAAACCCGTCAGCATAGAACCGCGGTGTTACCCGTACCCGTGCGTTTCCCTACATGGAAGTGGCCGTTTCTGCTGTTGCTAAATCGTCGCATGTGATGTCAACTTCTCAATTTGTGGCCACTAGTACAACCCTCGAATTACTTCCCCTTCTTGTATCAATGACATGTAAGATAACTAAACCTCACGCATTGAGACCTGTGCAGCAAGGAAGCTGATGATATGGTTGCTGGCTTTGAGGTCCAGGTGTGATGCTTGTCATTACAAGGGACTCATGTATCTATTACTGGTGTTTCCATTCACGTCTTGACGAGGCATGTTTCTGCCATCGGTCTGTTCAACTCGAACGCAGTTCTGTTGAATCGGCATTGGCGACGGATGGTGCTGATCAGGCACAGACGCACGACTATCCAACAATCACCTATAGTGCCGGAGAGCATGAACACGGCCGGTTGTATGGCTACTTCTAAGTTGGCCGAGCAGATATCTTCTGATATTTTTCTTTGGTTGCGTTGCTTGTTGCAATAATGTCGACTTCTCGATATGCAGCCACTAGTATACCCCTCGGATTACTCACCGTCCTTGTATGAATGAGATGTAAGATAATTATGAACCTCGCGTCTCTGTCTAATGCAAGCACGGTCCCTGATCCCTAATATCACCCCACTTACAAGCTTTCGTGTGGGATGAAGAATATTGTCCAGACGACATGTCTGTCTAACGTCGATAGGCAATCAATCAACAGTCAATTATTGCGAATTTCACAGGGCGTGCTCTTTACACAGCAAAATCATGTATCATACAGGAATATGGTCCACAGAAATGCGAATACTGTATGTGCACCAGTCACAAACCACTGCTCGTTGCTGACAGTGCAGAACCGAGATCGTAGGTAGCGGTACTCTCCTAGCGCATTTCCCTTGTTCTTCCCTGCCAGAAATGGAAAAGTACTTGGGTAGTGGGCAACATAGTTCTTAAATAGATATTTTGATATCGAGGCCTGCGAGCGTACCAATTCGAATGCGAGAAAGCTGACTATCGTCAACAATGGCTCTGAGGTCCAGGTGTGATGGAAAGTCGAGGTTATCGCCAGTCTTTGTTACATGAAATGCGAAACAGCGTCGCGGTCGCGATACGATACGATACCGAACCTGACCGGTAGCACAAGATTCTGTCGAAGTGCGGCGCTGACGCGTTTGGTATCGTCAGGGCCTGAGTGCTACAAGCTCAAAGCAGCTATGCAGCATGTGCATAGAGTTCTGCAGGCGAATTTAGAATATGCAGACATTAGCAAGACACAGGAGAATTCACAACAAACTTACCCTGCCGGAGTCCTCGGGCGCACCTCGAGCCATGAGCAGTGAAGATGTAGCAGGACGAATCTCCCCAAAAGTTGGATACTTGTGAGCCTAGGTTGTTGGTGAGCACTCATACATAACTCAAATAGTAGAGGAGCTCTCGAGTGTAGGAGAGAATGCATGTGGGGTTCGAACTGGTGCTCAGTGGTACATAGCAAGTACTACAGGCTATGTGGCTTTGGGCGCTCGAACACGAAAATGGTATGATGATGCGCCGAAACATGAGAAGCAGGTCTGAGAAGGAAGGCGTAAGAAGCTATACACAGGAAAAGGTTCTTAAGCGGCAGTAGATATGGTCATATGCCCATCATTCCCAGGCGGTTGCAGCTAGTATCTTGGTAAGATAACAAACCCTGTCTGAATATCCAGCACGGATGAACTGACAATTAGCTTGAGCAGGGAAGTGCAGCAGTGTTCGAACAAGGTGAGCACCTTCAAAATCACTATCGACATCAAGCCAACAGCACACGAGGAGAGCTCACCGACGGTCCTTCGAATACATCCGCATAATTGACATACTCGGCGAAGACATCAGCCATGGCTTCAAGCTCGATGCGGTCCGGTGCGGCATCAAACAAATCAATTCTGACACCGATCATGACCCTTCAGGGTCATGAACCTTTCACTGTCTACTTTTTGAATGGCGAGCAACAGAATTGGCACGAAGTTTCATCCATCTGCTACTTTCCGGATGGCAAGCACATGATCAGCGGATCAGGGGATAAGACCGCTCGACGATGGGACCTGCGGGCTGGTAAGGAGATCGAGGAGGTGCGAGAAGTTTGTGAGCGGGAATTGTGGGCTGTGGCGGTATCAAGGGATGGTCGATGGGTTGTGACAGGTGGTGGAGTTTTCGACGCAGGTGCACGTGGAGTTTTCAACGAGTGCCTGGGGGAGCTCAAAGTCTGTGATGATGAGACGGGGATTGTGAGAAGATTTGAAGGTCATTCAACGCAAATCACCTGCATTGATATATCTGCGAACAGCACGTTGATGGCGAGCGGGTCGTACGGTGGCACAGCGCGGATTTGGAACTTGGACACTGGAAAACTGGTAGCTGGCCCGTTCCAAAGTGATGACACCACCGGTGTGGGTGCGGTTCGATTCTCTCAAGACTCGAAGAAGCTCGCAGTCAAGTCAAATATAGCAAAGTGGCTTGAGGTGTGGGATGTCGAAACACAGAAATTGGATGTCAGCCTCAGAGTTGGGAAAGATGCCGCTGTTGACTGGTTAGTGTCTTATGCGCCGGTGTTCTGGACAGCCAAAGACAAAACAGTCGTAGCCGTATTGGACTTCAATGGTGACAATGATAGCTCCCCATGTCATAAGACGGTCTGTGAGTTCGACGCGTTAACGCTGAAGACTGTAGGAGCCCCATTTGAAGGGCACACCGGTAACATCTATGGTCTAGCACTTTCATTCGACTGTGCTCTTCTTGCTAGCGCTTGCAGCTCTACCGTCAAGCTCTGGGCCTTCGAGTCCCGCCAGCTCCTCGCCTCATTCGATGTTCAGTTTGCCTACTCCCTACTCCTCTCACCCAACTCACTTCAGCTGGCTTACTCGACTGGCTTGGACACCAACATCTACATATGCGACATTCCACCCAAGATCATTGCCACTATCTGGCCAAACGTATGCATTTACGCGCATATATATCTATTCTCGCGCTAAACATTATCTTACAGACCAGTGAACCTAAAAATCTCAATATCCTCAATGTGCGTGATCATTCCTATTCATCTACGCCATCCCATAAATATCATTTTTGCAGTCTAACGCAACACGTCGTGCTGTGCCTCGTAAACCAGTGATATCGCCTGTTACAGCTCCTTGGCCGCAAAGACCCCCTACCACACAGCGACGTGATTTCTTCCACTACCTCCGCATAGTCCTTCCTTCTCGCACGAACGCACGTGGGAATGATCAGCACCGTGATCCCCTGGATGTACGTCTTGTTCACTTATTTGCTTCGCATTTGACTTGATGAATCTTTGCAGTTCCCTGCTACATCTCCATTGCCTCACAAATACTCACACTCGGCGCAGGAAGCAACTAAAACTCACTCGCGTATGAATCCCTACGAGAACGTGAGTGTCAACTACCATAATTATAACCATAACTTTGACTTACATTTTTTAGTCTCAACCACCCATCACCCAATCATCTACAACCTTCAAAGCCCGCCTACGCGACCTACGGACGGGTCATGCATTGTCGCCTATTGTCGGTACTCCTCTCGCGCAGGGTAAAGAGGTACGTTTGATGGAATCTTTTTTTAATTATTGAATAATTTATGCATCCATTTACAGCGCAATGCTGCAGCAGATGCTCCTCCAAAAAATAATAAGGACTGGATACCTTATGAAGACCATGTTCCTTCACGCCCTCCTTCACCAAACCCCGATTCACAACCACGACACCACCACCCACAGTGCAAATCAACACCGGAGAGCATGGGAGTGGCCGGTCATGCGGCTGCTTCTAAATTGGTCTCGCAGGCATCTTCCAGTAGTTTACCTTTCATTTTCGCTACTCGCGCTATAACGTCAACATCGACTTCTCAATATGCAGCCACTAGTTTACCCCTTAGATTACTTCCTGTACTTGTATCAATGTTATGTAAGATAACTATAAACCTCACTCATTGAGGCCTGCGTGTATCAAGTCGAACGCAAGTCTGTTGAGTTCGAGTGAATCGGCATCGGCGGCTGAAGTTGCTGATCAGACACAGATATCCGACTATCCACAACCCTCCTCTCCGACGGCCCAATCGAGATCGACAACAGGCATCCACTCGTTGCCGCCCGGAACGAGGACCGCTCATGCTTAACGCAGACATTCATACACATATGTACACTCCAAGTCATGGCTCACTCACTGTTGCAGGGTGCTGGCTTGCTATTATCCAATTAAGTACTTGAAAATGCATAAACTTTTTTGAGCCACTGTATCATTGTCAACACCACTGAGTAGTCACAGTACTGTCAATGAGATCTACAAATGCCATGCATACAATGATTGCTATTCACATGAATTTGTACTCAGTATCAAAGACAACACACAACTTTTAGTGACAACTATACAAATTTGCAGGATACAAGAAGGGATACAACCACAACTAAGGACAAATGCAAAATAAAACCTCGTAAAGTACAAATATGCAGACCATTGAATATCATCCGTACTCAATGCAAGCAATGACTTGGCGGATTACCCCTAATAAGCTCCGCAACATTGACCGGCATTTCGTCCTTGTGAATTAAATCATCAGCGATGAAGACAGCACGGATCAACGACTGAGGGGGCAACGTACAATTTGTGTGCTGTGGAGTTTTTCTGGGGTGGAGTGAGTGGTGAAGGTAGCCAGTTAAAAATGACATACCGATGTCGCGCAGGATACGCACTTCGTCGTCAGTCACGACCTAACGAATTGTACATGAGAATATCAAGCGAGTGTGATGAAGGACATAACGTACATTGATTACAACACCTTTCTGGCCAAAACCACCCGAGTGCCGAATACGATGTATGTAATCCTCATGATTGCTGAGTGAAGCGGCTCAGTCAGTAGATTTAAAAAAACTCAAGGCAAAATTAATTACCCCGGAAGATCATAGTTGATGACAAGGGAGACTTGTTGGACGTCAATCCCTCGGGCCAAACCATCTGTTGTGATGAGCACGCGACTACAGTAAAGATCAAAACTTTCTATATTCAAGCGAGCCAAAAAAAAAAATGACGAACGACGCGCCACCACGGAATTCCGCCATGATAGCATCTCTTTCCTTCTGAACTATTTGACTATGCATCGGTGATACAGTGAAGTTCGCTGCACGCATCTTTTCAGTCAGCCAATCAACCTATTTCAACCAGTAAGCTACATCGAAGAGCGATTTGTTCGGAGACATACCTTGCGCCGGGTGTTGCAAAAGATGACAGCTTGTGTGATGGTAAGTGTGTTGTGCAGGTCACACAACGCGTCGAACTTCCAGGCATCTTTTTCTACAGCAACAAAAAATTGTTTGATCCCTTCTAGCGTTGACTCATCATCACTCTTGACGAGGATACGAATGGGATTGGTCGTGAATTTTGTCGTCATCTCCAACACGTCGTGAGGTAGTGTCGCACTCAGTAGGACAACCTGAGTAGCTGGAGGGAGGGTAACGGTACACGTCATATATTTGGTCCTTGAATCCCTTTTTGAACAGCTCGTCTACTTCATGGAGAACCAGTATTTTAATGTTGCGCGTCCGCAAAGCACGGCGCCGAATCATGTCGAAAACACGACCAGAGGTTCCTGACACCACATGTTGACCGCATTCCAACTTTTGAATGTCCTCGCGAATGGGTGTACCTCCGATGCAAGCATGACACTGGACATTCATTTGTCCACCGAGAGCCAGAACTGCTGATTGGATCTGGGTCGCCAGTTCGCGCGTAGGCGATAGCACCAGAGCCTGTGTTTCGCAAACAGAGACGTCGATAGACTGCAAAATAGATATCGAGAAGGTGGCAATTTTACCGGTTCCAGACTGTGCTTGTACAATGACATCGCGACCCTGTGTTATTGGGAGAATAGCTCGCTGCTGTATAGCAGACGGTTTCTTGAAGTCTGTATACGAACTTCAGCACTTGCAACACTGCAAGGAGAAACATAAACTTACCGTACGCATATATGCCGCGAAGAAGGTCCTCTTTCAAGTTGAGATCTTCAAAAGTCGACACAACCGAGACTGCCTCGGAGGACTCAAACACAAGTTTCTATGAAATCCACGCAATTTATTTTGCCCTTCTCTGGGCTTTTTGACAAACTTGCCTCGTCTCCAGGGTTTATTCCAGACATGGTGACCTATGGGTGAGGCCTGAGGTCTAAGTATCTGATGCTAATTCTAATTCTATGTTATGATTGTTATCCGATGAGTCCGTTTGTACTTGTGTATGATTCCATGTACCGTATTAGTAATCATGTACTTTCTACTGCTTTCATTTGATTGTGCTAGAGCTTAGCGCTTCCAATTGGGATATATGAGCCGCCAGCTCCTGATCTCATTCAACGTTCAATCTCCCTATTCCGTTCTCCTCTCGCCCAACTCACACCAGTTGGCTTACTCGGCCGGCACCGAGATCTACACATGCGACATTCCACCCAAGATCATTGCCAGTATCTGGCCTAACGTATGCATCCACGCACATATATATATCTATTCTTGCGCTAAACGTTATCTTACAGACCAGTGAACCTAAAAAATCCCAATATGCTCAATGTACGTGATCCCTATTCATCTACGCTCTCCTATCAATGTCATTTTTGCAGTCTGACGCAACACGTCGTACTGTATCTCGTGAACCAGTGATTTTGCCTGTGACATCTTTTGCTCCTCGGCTGCAAAGACCTTCCACTACCGCACAGCGACGTGATTTCTTTCGCTACCTCCGTAATCCTTTCTCGCACGAACGCACGTCGGAATGATCATCCCCGTGATCCACTGGATGTACGTCTCAGTCACCTATTTGCTTGTATTTGACTTGACGAATCTTTGAAGTTCCCTGCTGCATCTCCATTGCCCCGCAACTACTCACACTCGGCGCAGGAAATAACTAAGACTATTCGCGTATGAATCCTCATGAGAACGTGAGTGTCAACTGCCACAGTCATATCTTCGACTTACATTTTTCAGTTTCAGTCCAAACTAGCACGATCACCTATCACACAGTCCCGCCTCCACCACCTATCAAGCTGATGGCCCATTCGCATAGGCCATGCATCTCCGCCTATCGCCGATGTTCCTCTCGCCCTGGGTAAACTGATATGCACGGTTCACTTTTCTTGCTGCAGCCCAGGTCTCACACATCCGTTTACAGCGCATCGCTACAGCTGGTGCTCCCACCCATGACGACGACGACTTGATTCGCGATGAAGACTATGTTTCCCCGTGTCCCTCACCAAACCCAAATTCACGTCCACGGCCCGGAGTGCCCACCAGCACCGGATCACATGGAAGCGGCCGGTTTTGCGGTTGCTTCTAGATTGTCGCATGTCGATATTGACTTTTCAATATGTGGCAACTGGTACAACCCTCGAATCGCTTCCCTCCTTGTATCAATGGCATGTAAGATAACTATAAATCATGCATATAGACCTACGCAGCGAGGAAGCTGACGATATGGGTCACTGGCTTTGAGGGCCAGGTATGTTGGATATCATTGAGTGACTCGTGTATCTACCTACGTAGTACTTCACGTCCTTTCATCTACATCAAAAATAAATACAAAGAACGACGACTTCCACAAAATAGACTTCTGCCTGCAGCCTTCCTGAATCATTGCGTCGAACGTGAGCCAAGCGAGTTCGAGTGAATCGGCATCGGCGACCGAGGGTGCTGGCCAAGCACAGGCACATGACTATCCACAACACTCCTCTCCGACGGCCCAATCGAGATCGACAACAGGCGTCCACTCGTTGTCGTCCGGAACGAAGACCGCTCGTGCTTAACGCAGACATTCATACACATATGCACACTCCAAGTCACGGCTCACTCACTGCTGCAGACATAGACATCTCATGGTCCACTCCCGAGTCAGCTTGTCGCCAAGACCAGTTTCCTAACGAGCCCCGCGCAAAGTCGTCTGATTTCATTCTTTCTCGTAGTTGGACTTTTGCGTTCAAGGTGCGCAGGATCGACAAGGTGTAGAGTTTTCCGGTTTGAAGCAGGAATACGAAAACAAGACGGTTGGCATTTGCCTGGGTAGAATGTTGGCTTTGTTGGTATCACGGTGAAGAACTGAACTTGCACCCACGTTATGCGAGAAGAACAGTCCTGCGGAAACAGCAACGCATAATGATGGCCAGACTGCAGACTCTGTGGCGACAGCGCAAAACCTTAGGAGTGCTCTGTCGAGGTGGTGTACGCCGGTTTTGTTTTTCCATAAGAAAAAAGCGACTTTTGAATCACATCAATCAAATAAGGTGTCGGCGAGCGCACAAAAGGCTCACGAATAACAGAGAGAATGACATCGAGCACTTCAAGGATATAACATCAGTTCTGCACATAAGATCATTCATAGCGACTTACCGAGCACCGCCGTGGTCCAATACGAAAATGAGATGACGCTCAGCTAGAAGTGCAGTTGGGCACACATGCAAATTCAAGTAAGCGTTTACGTACAACGACATCGCTAGGCTTGGGATGGACGGCGCCCAGACGTGAAAAAGCCACCGCCTGAAGATGCCAAATCAACGTCAGATCCAAATAGCAGAAGGTAAATCACGCACGATCAAGATATTCGCGACGTATGTGGTTATCGTGAACGCGAACAACACGGCTATCCACCAGCTTCCTTTTGTAACCTAGCAAAACCAAAATTTTGAGAGTTCGTACTAGAGCTGATGCTTGGAATACATACCCGCCAGCAACGTCGGAGGAGGAAGAGCTTGTTTATTCCGCTGATGAAACCGTTGAGGAAAACCGCGAACCATGCTCGTGGAATCCTCAGCTGATCCCAAGAAGTCAAACCAGAGATCAGCACAATCATATGTTGACATACCAGCATCCTACTTTCCACATTTGCCTTCCAAGCTATGTATCCTTCGAACGCCGTCTGTGCACTTTCCCAAGCATCGAACACTAAGCACGCACAACACTCGCGCTAAACAAAGCCAAGCACTCACAGAGAAAGCAGCGTAACAAAAGCTACGAAAAGATTACGACCCCAGGAATCTTCATAACACACCTCGTAGTATTGCCCAGCTTCAATGACGATGATACCCTGGAAGAAAAACTGTATAAATACGCCGACAAGGATAGCACCAGGTGGCTCCTCGACAGCGTGTATGGTCCGATCGGTTACAATGTTCATGGTCGGATGGCTCGCGTTGAACATAACTCAGTCGATGGGTGGGACGAAGAGCTGTAGAACCGATTCATGTCAAGGGTGGTTAGAATTCAAATCAAGGCTGAGACAGCTCAACGTGTATGCATGGTATGGCTGACATTTTATGATGCGCATAGCATAAAATTATCAAGATTCTAGTGGACATAAAATAACAATATACGTAAGACGTACTAGCGTAAGGACATGAATTGTGAGGGAAGGAGAGTCACGAGGGTGGTGATGGTGCTAGTGCCTCAAGGTCTCTCCTATGACGGAGGTCCTCCCAGATCGTGGGGTGTTCTCGCGTACAATGTATAATGAGGTCTTCAAGCTTTGGGTTCACTAACACATCCGGTGGTTCGGGTATCATCTCCATGTCGAAACGATCACTGGGAAAGACGATGAGGACTGCAGGCATGCAGAACGAGGGTTGACTTACAGGCATCTGCCACAGAAATATCCATCGGCTACTTCAGCATCCTGCTCGTAGATCAAGTAGACGCAGGCTTCGACGGGTCGCAAATTATCCACACTCGGTGGTGCACCTTGTGTCTCTTGAGCAGGCGACGGTGTGACGGAGCTTGGCGAGATTGGATTGGAACCAACTGCAGTGTCTGAAGGCGTGACTGCAACCGCAACCTCGTCGTTCGTAACGCCCACTTGGCCTGCTGAGGCTGCGTCCATCGTTTCTTTAGCAAGTGGCGCAGAAAGCGAGGGTGAGACTGGCGAGCTTGGTTTTGAACCGACTACGGTGTCCGGAGAGGCTGGGTTGGGCTCAGGATTCACGTTGACAAGCACATCCTGAGGCGACTGGGTGGTGGGCTCCGCAGTCCTTTGTCTCTTTGTCAACTCGATATCCTGCGCCACTGAGCCATCCACGGCAGAATTCGTGCGTTTTAGACCGCTAGACTGATCAACCCGCCCACCTCTAGCTTGATCTGCCACCCTTTCGTCTTCCCCGGTCAGATCTACACATAGAATAGGACGTGACGTCGCAGTATGCAACTTGGGGTGTAGATCGAAAGGTACAAGTGGCGCTGATACATTTCGATAGACAGCTTGCGATGTGTGCATATGCGAATGAGTGAAAGGCGGTTGCTGAGGGCGATTGAGATTAGCCGGGGCTGAGATAGGAGGCATGTATGCAAATTCTGTGGGCGACCTAGCTCCAAACATTGGGGGTGCGGATGCCGGTGACGGGAGGTTCCATCTCTGAGACATGAGAATGGGTTGCTGAGGTGGGTAAGGCTGATACGATGATTACTTCAAAGCCTAAAAGCAGGGGGACTAGACGTACATTTTGAACACCATCAGAAACCCTCCTTTGAGCGTGTGCTTGACGGGTGGGTTGCAGCTGATGAGGTGGCAGGGTGTGTTGGACCTGTGGTCGCATTTGTCGTAAATGTTGTGCTTGCTGCTGAAACTGTTGCTGCGGTAAACGAGAAGGCTGGAGTCGGGGAGCACCCTCGGCAGACACTCGTCGCTGATGAACCTAAGAGATACAGTTATTCATGCCTTGTGAGATTAGATAGAAAGTACCAACATCGCCAGGGGTAGGGATTCTGGGCTGGATGATTTGAGGGACAGATTCTGCAGTGCACAATCAGAAAAGCTAGGATACAGTGAACAGGAAAAGTCTAACTTGAGGGAGATAATACACTTGGAGAAGACTGGCTGCGTTGTTTAGCCATAGTGTATTTGTCCTGGAGAATTTGCATGTCTCTGCAAATGCGATTAGTATATGCCCTCATGTGGTCGAGTTCTTCGATGAGATATTGATGTGAGGTGCCTTTATTGACACTGAAAAGGATCTCCTGGTTTTTCCGAGCGAAAGCGATGCGTTCACTCTCAAGAGTACGTATCCTCTCTTGCATGTGAGTGAATTGTTGCAGCTGAGTGTTCGGATTGGCCGAGAGATGTGAGACGTGGTCTTTGAGCGTCTGAATGGCAGCGGTGAGCCGGCAATTGTCTTGATAGAGCTTCCCATTGTCCTCTTGGAGTGATTGAACGAGTTGTGTGGCTTGTTGTAGCTTATCTATCATGGTTGGGTGGAGACCCAGCTCTTCGATGCAGCCATTAGTGGTGGATGCAAGTATTTCGACGATCTTTGAATGTAGTCTGCCATCTTGGTTTGCACTGCTGTTGAGCGCGTTAGAAGCAAATAGGAGGAGAGGTAACAAAGGCTTGCCCTCTGTCTGGTTGAACGGTATCGGGATAAGGCCCGACATGTGCTTCAGGAGATGACATCCAACAGCCGATATATGCAATATGTAAATCACTCGTGTGATCGATAGAGGGAAGGAGAAAATATTGAGGGGAAAACTTCTCAATTTGTAGGCGGAGATTTTTAGTCGAAATTGACTTAGGTCACCAGGATTTAACGTTTTGTTTGATCCGTAGACCCGGCGCTCTATAGCTAGCGTTATTAGCTTATGATGATCCGGTGGGGTTGTCGCGAACGTGAGTGTAGCAAGTGGCAAGTCGTAGTTCAGCCTTTTTGTATGGCGGCAGGTTCTTTGTACAATTGTCGGAGTCATATTGGAAAAGCAGCGAGGCTGCAACGCGTTTGATCACGTTAGACTAACTCATCATCTTCTATCTTATCATACGGTCCGAGCATTCTAGGGTACGCCCCCATCTGGTGGATCCCATCCCGTTGAATCTCCTTTATAGTCACACTCAAAGAATAAGTACCAATAAAGGGCAAGAAGAACTTCCAATGAGTGAACACAACGACGAACACGCTGCAGATACCATCTCCCAATCGTATGTGTCGGTACTTTCACGGCCCAACTGGTTGGTTGCGCGAGACACTTTTGGGCTTCTCCAGACCTGAATACGATTAACCTTCACAAGAGGACTTCAGTTGTTCCAACTGTCAAGGAGAGCAACCCACCATTCACGGCCGATAACTCGAAGCTGGTTAAATTCGTCGAAACCGAAGGAATTTCTGTCATAGTTCAAGAATTGCATTGAACAGCAAAGAAGGAAAGCAGAAAGCATGATGGTGCTGCGACGCCTGCGTACCCAAGACAGGGCTCAGCGACAGCGGTTACTTGGTTCGTAACGACCTTGGCACCTTGCATTGAAATATGATTGTCGTGATCATGAAGAGTGACACTCTCACAATCATATTTCGACGCAGGAGTCAAGAGGAGCCAAGGAATTGAGTAAGTTGAGGAATGCAGGTTAATTATCAACGGGTGCAAGTTATAACGACTCGCAGCGAGGAGTTTGTAGATGCCAGTGTACGCTTTGGGTAGTTTTGGTCATGGCAATCTGCAACAACACAAACTCTTCTGTTCGTACCGTGAAATGTATGGCATCCTCTCAGATGCAACAGCGCAACTAAATGTTAAATAGACAATCAAAATGATTGCATTTTATGCATTATGTGACGATGTATCAGCAGTCTGAACCTTCGGCTTGGATGATCAATCCTTCCACTGGCGTCGACGAGAGTCGGAAGCTAAAATTCTCGCTGTCCAAAAGATACTCCGTGGATTGCAGATGATGGTAATGGACCTCCTGTTGTACTCAATGTCGGAAAGACCCTCCATGGCAACTTGGAGGGACGGTTTTTTTGTGTCAATCCCGAATTCGATACTGTCACTCGTACACTTTCTTGAATCTTGATGTGTTGGATCGATGAGCGAGCAACTCCACGTCGGTTTACGACCGCTTCGTGAGCCTGCCATATACAGTGATATACTGCGCGGAATACAAGCTTCTCGCCTGCCTTGTGTTCTCTAGCCGTGATGATAAAACGAGCCTCGTCAATGGAAAAAAAATCCACTTGACGAAATTCTGATCCTTCAGCAGCAGCGCGAGATATGGAATACGTTTTCCTTCTGGAAAGAATTGCTCCGGTGCAACAAGGTGATTATAGAAGGCTCCCAACGCAAAACTCCCGATGCGGCGGCAGAACTCGGGAGTTTTGCCAACCAGTTTGGCAAAAGTGGTTGTGCCTGGTCCACGGCAGAACTCACACGAAAGGAGGGTGGCAGAACTCCAGGGTATCCGAGACTCGTGGAGATGTATTTTAGATCTCTGATAACACAGTTTGAATTCAAGAGACCGACGTCGTGTCCCTATGTAAAGTAAGATGGTGCATGTGGCTGGAGGGCGCCCCTTCGTATCATTGATCACCAACAATTTCGAGCGCCTGGAACGAGAACATTGCGGCGATACTGATAACTTGGCATCGATCATCAAGTGCTCAATTCCAGGGTCATGACAATCCGAAATCCACCCACTCAAGTTCTTTGCTGTAAGAATCTTCTCAATTGTAGGGCGTTCTCAGTTGACACATTTGAAACACTCGGCAAAATTCGTGCAAACCTCAGGCTTCGACGCCACAGCGCCGTAAAAGCCGCAGAGGCTGGGAAGTCCAGTGTCCACCCGCCGTCAACATGTCACATGCACAATCGTCAAGACGTTGGCATTGCTGTCGAGATTGCACAGGATCTTGAAGTACCCCTCGTGACCTTCTTGCTGGTCTAGAGGGTATCTCGCCAGACAACATTACTGCTGAGTTCGCAGCCCTCGAAGAGTTGAAAAGGCGATCACAAGGGATTCCATGGTGCCGCCATCTGGTGGTTGCTCGAACATCTTCATGACATAGCGGGGCACGAGCGCAGGAATAGAGTGCGTACTCAGTAAGGCGCTGAATCGGAGGAAGAGGTGTAAGCATCCTCGAGAAAATGGGTCAAACATCAAGATGCGAATGTCTTTACTTTTTGAGCTGTCACAACTGCCGAAGGATAATGTTAGTATAAAACTGTTGCCAGCATGTCCCCGTCCGCGAGGATGAAAATTATTATTGGAATTTAGTTCGAGCGGGGATGAGTATGTGAAGTTTAGGTCGCTTGTGAGCGCGTGGGTAGGAGATCAAGGTATCTTGCACTGTGATACATCTTGAGAAAATCCGATAAGATGATGATCTGGCCAGTACGTACGTGCCCAGGGCCTGGGGGATTTTCAAATACCCATGACCAACCTATTCGGAAAATCGGAATAAGTGTTGTGTTGACCGACGATGACCCGATTGACAATTGTGACGACATCGGACGCGAGTCGGCGAGTACCTTGGTCATTAAATGAGCTTAGGAATAGGCGCCTAGGATGCGCTCAACGCGGAGTCTGAGACTAGCAAGCATGAAGCATATTTAATCGACAATGACAAACCCGGATGAAATGTCGTAGTAAGCAACTGCCCACGACCGTGAAAAAAAACAACCCAAAGACGACAATAGCGTAAATGTTTACCTGCCTTGTACAAGTTTTGACAGTAGAGGTGTCACAGAATCAAGCAACGCGAGTAATATATGGGTCCATCTGAGAGAGTACGTTACCCAAATTAAATGCTGCGACCTTGATGGTCCTCATATGAGTGATGTGGTCACATAGATGCATCGATGAGTCACGTCACCTATTTATCCACACTTGCATCAAACTTATAAGCAAGACATTTAGAATCAGATGCGCATAGTCCGGCCTCCGTTCCCACTCGTTCCTAACCAACACTTGTGCTTCCACCTCCATTCAAATGGCCTTGACAGAATCCTTTTATCCGAACATCTCTTCACCATTGTTAGCGGAATCTGACACAGCTCTCCTGGACGTTCTCACCAGCCCTCGATGGCAAGGCGTGCAGAAATTCTCCAGAAGGGATGCTGCTTTAGATCCATTATTACTTGCAGTAGCAGCCTCTGCAGGCGCCCGCACCACCCGAAATCATTATCATCATGATTTCTTTCCCGGTGCCCAAGCCGATGCCGTCGCGCGTAGCAAGCGGGCTGCAGAGGATACAAACAAGCCTCAGGAGCGCAAGCGTATGTCATATGTGAGCAAGCAAGGCCCTCGAAGACTGCGCTTGCAGCCCACCATTTCTCCGCAACCAGCTATAGCCTCTCAATCCATTTCCTTGGCTGGATCATCACCCATATCCTCTATAGAAGTTAAATGCATGGCTCGTACCCGTATACCCACGCCACATGGTCCGGCTTTCTTACACCTCTACCACAATAACCGTGACAACAAGGAGCATCTTGCCATTGTCGTAGACCCGGCGCAATACTCGGACGATAGTTCTGTTCTAGCACCGCCAATCCGCAGCCGTTCTTTAGACGCTGTTTGGAGTGATGACGAAACAGACATGGACCGTATCATACGAGGGGCATACGTAGGAAAACTATCTGCTACATCCCAACACCCATCTCGTCCTTCCTTACATCAACCATCTCCCACAACCTCCATCCCGTCTCCCCTTGTTCGTATTCATTCCGAGTGTTTCACTGGTGAAACAGTGGGCAGCATGCGCTGCGACTGTGGCGAACAGCTAGATGAAGCCATTCATCTCATTTCTCAACCAATATCTCTTCCCGACAACGTATCACCCAATTCAAGGTCGATGCCCGGCCGCGGTGCTGTAATTTATTTGAAGCAGGAAGGTCGTGGAATCGGCCTTTTGTCCAAAATACGCGCCTATAATTTGCAGGATTTGGGCCACGACACCGTCACAGCCAATTTGATGCTCGGCCATCAGGCCGATGAACGTGGGTACGAAATTGCCATCGCCATTTTGCGTGACCTTGGGCTTGGTTCGGAGCTCGGCGAGGGTGTTCGGCTATTGACGAACAACCCTGACAAAGTTCAAGCTCTTGAGAAGGAGGGCCTGAGGGTTGCAGAGCGGGTGCCGATGGTGCCTAGAAGCTGGAAACATCGGTCTCACTCACAAGCGGACTCGGGAGAGGCTCAACTGGGTAAAGCCGCGGGTGCGACTATGATCGGTGGAGAGGCGGTCAGAGGGGAGGACTTGGACAAGTACCTCCGCACCAAGATTCTCCGCATGGGGCATATGTTGCCGCTCTATTTGGCAGGCGAGCAAGCCGCATCATGACGCAACTCCACGTCGCTCCTTCCGCACAGATAATATGAAGATAATATGCAGGGGATTTGACGCGACTATCATTATCATCTATTTACCCTGTGTTTCTTGGCTGTCCTTAGATAGAGTGTATTCATTAATTGTACTGGTAGATGAATTCGAGGACTTAAAAACTTTCATAGTTGCTTATGTGATCTAGTATTATCGCATCCAATTGGGGCGTTGTGAAATTGCCGCCGTCGTGCATACGTACACCGACTTTCTCTATCAGTGTCTCTCCACTATATACGGTGTTGTCATGTTCGACCCTCTTAGCTCGACTAGCTCCATTTTTGCCAATGGAAACACCGACATGTCACCGCCATGGCCAACGACACCGCACGAGCCAAATTCTCCAATACCCCACTTACGTCGCGCTTCCCCGTCTTTACCATCTCCAGTGAGTGTCCAGAAAGCAGAGACAGACGGGCTGTACGGTAGAGAACCCAAAATTTACGGCCAGCCTGAACCTGGCCTTGTATCTCCGCAGACGGCAGTAGGCTCAAATGGCACAAAATACGAGAAGATGGAGCCATATCTACGTGTGCGAATCACTGGAATGGACAGGAACAGGCGGGATATACTCTTCAAGCTTGATGCCCAGGTAAGTTAGCAAGCTGTACTTTATCATCTATGTAGTAATCAGACTTGCGCTGGCAGACAACACTGTCTAATTTCACGGGAACTACATACCGCAATGTGTCCCGTTCATACCTCGAGTTTCAACAGTTCTACGAAGCGTTGATCAACAATTGTCCTCATACCATCATACCTGCACTACCCCTTGCCCAAACCTCGGCGCCTACAGACGAGGAAGATGATCGTCTTGTGCGAATAATGCTGCAGAGGTGGTTGACGCGGATATGCGAAGACCCGATTGTTATCCATGACGAGGAACTGCGCTCATTTATCGAGAGTGATTTTGGTTATCAGCCAACGCCACGTCCTCGGCGTAAAACGGGTTCAGGGTTTGGGCTGATACGCCGAGGCGTGCCTGATGAAGACGAGGTACTGCAACGTGCACGATTTGAATTAACGAAGCTTGAAACGCAGTTTTTCGATGCTGCTAAAGCTATTGATAAACTTGCGATCACACGCAAATGTGAGTGGCTTGAAGGTGATTATCAGGCTTGTCCATTTGTTGATCTGAGTTGTAGCTCTGGCTGCTGCGCATGCGGAGATGGGCAACAAACTCATTAATGTTGCTACTACGGAGTCGCATCCCCCTCTTGGACATGCGCTGCAGAAGCTTGGAAGAGCATGGCATACTCTTACGGATCTGGATCAAGCGCAGGCGATTAGTGAATGTGTCGTCATCGGGGACACCCTTGGATATCAAGGTCTAAACGCCCGTTCCGCCAAGGAAGCATTGTTGCAACGAGCTGGTGTACTGGAGGAGTATCAGGCTGCAGTAAAGTCGACGATATCTAAGCGGAGGAATATAGAGCGGTTGAAGGCAAGTTCTAACATTAGGCCTGAGCGAGTGGATGAAGCTTTGGAGGATATAGAAGAGGTAAGTGCAATCCGCTTGGTATTTTCTCGGCGTGAGAGCGCTGATCTCTGCATTGTTGTAACAGGCCAATAAATATGAGCAAGTGCTTGCTCAACGAGCTAACAACATATCCCAAAATCTTCATCGTGCAATGGATACACACAAGCGTACTGTTGCAGATGATATCACCGCTGCTTTGATCGAGCACGCTCGCTCGTCAATCATGTACGAGAGGCAGCTACTCCGAGAATTGGAGGCGCTTCGCACAGATGTCAACAACGCCAACCAGAAGGTAGCACCTCCAAACCCGAATGGCATTCCCAAGCCATCTGTTATCTTACCTCTAGAAGACGATACGCCGCCCATGCACACCAGGGCTACGCCTCCTGTCGCAAAGCCTCCAAACCGGATGCCGCCAGCTGCTCCTTCACCCACTCAGTCCTCATTCAGACATAACCCACTTCCTCCTCAATCACCTGGTGCGGGTCCCTCGACACCTCAGCGGAACTCTTTCGCACACTCGCATATACCCCCACAGCCACGGGAAACTGGCCCGCCTCTCGGCGGCCGCTTTGTAGATGGGTCACAGTCGATGTTTGTTAACGCCTCATCACCATCACCGTTGGGCCCTCCAGTAGCCGCTTCTGCCACTTCGCCTTTACCCCAAAGCCCCCTTGGGGGAACTATTCATTCTCCTGTTCCATCCTCTGCTACCCATCCTCTTGCGGGTTTCGCGCAATCCTCATTGGCCTCTAACGCTCCTGTTCGCCCCGCAAGCGCACAACAGGCAGTGGACCCTCTGGGAATGTTCGCCCCGACGAACATGTCACAGTCAATGCGGGTACACCCATCGCGCCCACGCTTGGATGCGCGGGTTGCAGCGAGTAAGCTTGCTAATATGTTCTAATCGTTCTGATAGAGGATGGACCATGCTTTCATGTATTTATCAACTGATACTGCTCAATGGATTGTTGTTTGTCTGTCGGACTGAAATGCTGATCCTTCGAGAGCGCAGATACTCGACCGCATCAATTTTTAAATTTCAGTAGTGGAATACATGTACACTTTCATCGATTCTGCCATAGTCGTATATTTCCGTCGGTCATCACATCCATCTACAGCAGGGACTTGAGCACCTCAACGACCTTGTCGCCGACCTCGACAGTCGTTGCTTTCCCTTGCAAATCAGCTGTTCTGATGCCATATCCACCAACACTCGGCTCATCCAACACCTTGCGAACAGCAGCCTCAACGGCCTGGGCCTCCTTCTCGAGACCGAGGGAGTACCGCAGGAGCATGGCTGCGCTGAGAATGGTGCCGATTGGGTTGGCAATGCCCTTGCCAGCGATGTCGGGGGCAGAGCCGTGAATAGGCTCGTATATGCCTGAAGTAGGCTTAAAGGAGGGGTCTGAAACCATTGCAGGTGCACCAGCAAGGGATGCCGATGGCAGCAATCCCAGAGAACCAGGGATAACACTCGTCTCATCTGACAAGCTGAAATCAAATCAATCAATATCATCACTGGTAACCAACTGAATGAGACTTACATGTCGCCGAACAGGTTCTCGGTCAAGACTACGCCGTTCAACTTTTTGGGGTTAGCCACGATGATCATCGCAGCGGAGTCAACGAGATAGTGGTCAACGGTCAACTGAGGGTATTCCTTTGCCAGCGTCTCAGTGACAACCCTTCTCCACAACCTCGAACTTGCAAGCACGTTTGCCTTGTCGATAGAGTGGATGGCGAGGGGTGGGTTGGCAGCGAGAGCAATCTGTGCTGCAACCCTAGTAATTCTTTCAACCTCGGCAACGCTGTAAACCATGGTATCATATGCGGTGTCCCCATCGCCTTGTTCCTGACGAGGACCAAAGTATAGACCGCCGATCAGCTCACGGATGACGATCATGTCGACACCCCTAGCGATCTCAGGTCTCAGAGGGGTGTATGAAAGTAAGGAGTCGGACGCAAAGTTCGCTGGGCGAACGTTTGCGTATAAACCCAGAGCTTTGCGGATGCCCAGAAGACCTTGCTCAGGGCGGACTTTTGCTTCGGGACCCCACTTGGGGCCACCCACAGAGCCTGGATTCCAATCAGTTCCATGATCGCAAAGTTGACCAGGATTTTTGCTCACCCATAAGAATGGCATCCGCCTGCTGGCATGCTGTTAGGGTGGATGCGGGCAGGGGTTCGCCATATTTGTCAATGGCACATCCACCAAAGTCATGAGGCTCGAGGATGAGCTTGACCGATGTAGATGTCTCGCTGACGAGCTCTAGCACTCGCGTTGCTTGTGCAATAACATCTGGCCCTGTAACACCGTTTAAGCTCCACGCCTTGGTTGATTAGATCAAAGGAATGACATACCAATGCCATCCCCTGGCAGAACGACGATGCGGTACCTGGATATAGAAGTCAGTGGTGGTCATATATGGGGATCGATAGACTGACGACTTGGGAGACATTTGAAAGATGGAGAAGCGGAAGATGACGATCAATATTAATTGCGTTCAAGCTCTTTTTATCATCGTTATATGTTAGAACCTGGAGTGTTCGGCTGCCCGCGCTATCGGCCGAGGTGATAATGTGATCATGACTACCTGCATAAGGGTAGATCTTCCCACGTTTATTGTCATGTTAGCAGGCTGTTAGCAGTCAGTAGCGCTAAAGTCTAAGAACTTCTTCAAAACTTCACATCGATGGCAGAATCAAAACCTCGCTGTAAAAACTTGGTTTTAGATGCTGGTCCATTGCTTTCGCTTTCACCACTGAGGGGCCTGGCAGAGATCTACCTCACTGTACCTCAAGTTCTGGATGAACTCAAGGACAAACGCGCCCGGGAACACTTTGAACGATTGGGGTTATCTGCGGGTGTCCAAGTGGATGTACGCAACCCTGATGCTGCGTCGCTTGCTCATGGTCAGCACAGGTCTCTATTTTGTCGGTTACTTACACACCTTCTGCTCTCCAGTGATACAATTTGCGAAGAAGACGGGAGATTACGCTGTCTTGTCCCATGCAGATATCTGCGTCTTGGCGTTAACCCACTCGCTTCATGTGCGCGAACAGGCGTCATCGGAGAATGACCCTCAAAAGGCAAGGTTTGATGAGCCTAGTACCACAGCCCCGATCTAACATCTAGCTAGTAGAGTATTACCAACGAAATTGACGATAACGTCCAAAGTCTCCCAGCTTCCTCTTCGGATCTATCAGAGGATATTCATAGTGAGAATGACGAAGGTGAAGAGAGGGAGCCGCTAGATATCGGAATTCTCCGAGAAGGAAGCGAAGATATGGCGGAAGAATCGCATAATCCCTCAAGTGACGAAGCTCGACCATCGGATCAGCCACTATATGAGGACCCCTCGGATGAGGATGATGGCGAGGGCGAATGGATTACACCTCAAAACGTTGCACTACACAAATCCCAAGCGCTGCAGCTATTGCCTTCTGGCAGCAGTGGTAGTGGTAGTAAGAAAGGGCGGGGACGACACGAGGAGGACGAATTCGTACCAGCAGGTTGCATGACTGGAGATTTTGCAGTTCAGAACGTCTTGCTGCAGATGGGTCTGGCATTGGTCGGGACTGAAGGCAAGCGGATACAGAAAGTGAAGAGCTGGGTTCTTCGGTGTCACGCTTGCTTTAAGTGAGTACCAGGTTCCACTGATTGGTATCCTGTTCTTACACCACAACTAGGATCTGCAAAGACAACTCAAAACAGTTTTGCCCATCTTGCGGTAACCCCACACTAATGCGGGCATCGGTCACTGTTGCGCCCCCTGATGCATCACCAGATGCTCCTGCAATGCAAGTTCACCTGAAGAAAAACTTCCAGTATAAAGTAAGGGGAACGAAATATTCAATCCCTGCACCCAAGCCTGGGTCGGCCAAGACAGGCCCTGGAGAAGGTCTAGTATTACGCGAGGATCAACTAGAATACATGCGCGCTAAAAAGCATGCAGACGGTAAACGAGACCGGGAGGAGCGGCGAATGATCAAGGGCCTGGTTGATAAGGGTGGCGAGGGTGGCGTTAGTGTTGGTGGCTGGTCAGATCCTGATTGGATGCCAGGAATATTGAGTGCCGGGACCGGAGGGCAAGGGCGATCATCGCATGCTGGCGGAGACATGCCGCAAATAGGGTATGGGCGGAAGAACCCCAACGAAAGAAAAAAATGGAAGTGATATAGACGCTCATTGCTGAAAAGTACATTACCCAGTTAATTGGGACGGGATTATACAATGTCTCCTCTGATTTACGAGCCTAGGCTGCGGTTCATGAACCTTCTTTTCTGGAATGCCATCCACCACTTGCTCGGTTTGCCCGTCCCGTCAGCGTACAGGCGTTCCACCAGACGAGACGCCAGTTCCTGGCGGACCTGCGTCAAGTATGTCCTCAGATACTCTGTCGTGATATATCTATTATCCACTCAGGCGAAACAATCCAACCGAACGTACCTGCATCTGCTCTGCTCTGAGGCGGGGCATAATGGGCGTTGAGAGGGAATCCAGCATCGCCTGGGATAGCGAAGTTGTCTACAGATAAAGTATTCAACATCTTTGATGCTTCAATCTGCGTTGGCACTGTGCGAGCAGAACCGATCTTCGCCAAGCAATCAGAGATATAGAGAATCAGGATAATTAACAGTCGGTCCGCAGGCCCTTTGATCTCGAAGTTGCGGAAGAGCGAATTGGCGCGAAAAAGGTCCAGGGTCTCGTCTATGATATCTCCTTGCTCTGTATCAGCTACATACACGACAGTCAGCATGATGGTGGTGGCGACTGCATATTCCAGGAGACATACCAAGGGGGGCAGGACCACGGATTTTGGTTCTGATCGGCAAGATGGACATGTTGCCAGCTTGCATTGCATCAGGGAACTCGTTGAAAGCAGAGTGGTATGCCTATAAAGTTTTGTTGTTCGCCATTAGCATTGCTCTTCGAAACTCTCCAGAGGACTCGCTCACAGGCATGGCGCAGCGGTGAGAAGTTGGGGAGTACACAGCCACCAATTAGGTCGCATTTCCTTTTCAGTCTGACTCAGTACAGTCTGGATTTGCGTGCAACGTTCAACGTTGTCCGAGCTTGAAAACCAACGACTTCGGAAACCATGTATCAAAATGATGAAACTGATGATGAACAAGCCTCTTTTATAATACCGCAGACTATGAAACCCTCTCCGGATACATTAACGAGTATGTTATACCTACTCTTGTATTGATTTCCATCATTCCCTAATTATTATATAGAACTTGTGAAGCGTCTCAAGGCACTAGCAACGAAGCTGCTTCCAGTGGAAGTTGATGTGATGAGCATCAATGATCCCACAAGCAGGATTATCACTCCCAATGTCATATCTGCATTCTCGGACGCGGCGGGTGATTTTGTTGAAGCGGTGAGCGACTTACAATCGTACTGAAGTGTTCGACGTGCTCATTGTGTCAAAAGCTCCCATATTGTTTGCTTCGTGCTCACGCTGAGTTCGTGCGAGAGGCATATCTCAACCCCGCAGATTTTGGCGAAAACCGAGGAAGGGGTAAGTAGAACAACTTCTTGTGCTATCGTTACTCGGTTGAAGATGAGCCCTCATGAACACTCACTTTGGCAGCTGTGGCATGTGAAGTGCTGGCTCGTCGCATTATTCATCAAAGCCCATCTGAGAAAATTAAATCTCTCATGTCTACTCGGCATAGGCATCGTGAGCCTGATGGTGATATCAGCGAGGCCTCGAGTGCTCTCGAAATTGCCATTGACACTCATTGGTCGGTTTTTCGTAGGGATATATGCAATTTTCTTACGTGCTGTTATGTAGCACAATATTTTTGTCTTCTACCGAAGCACAGGATGGTGAGTTGTCCGAGGTAACCTATGAGTTGGTTAAGCTGATTGTTGCCCCAGTTGTCAGGGCTTTGTGGGACGGAGAACTTGTCCAGACGCTAACAGATCAGGATGATATTCAGTGTGAGACGATGGATGGTTACTTATTCTCCATGCTCAAGCACCGACAGATGTATCCTACCACGAATCGCGGCAAACTGGGTTTCGGGGTCACATGGATCCTTCACGCATTTCCGTTCCCCGGTATGACTTACTTCAGCTACATTTGTGATCTATTCTTACTTCGGTACAGGTATCAGAACTTCCTCCGCATCGTGGTGCGTCATATATTGGGTGAACGACCATTAGCTTGATATGATCACACAGATTTGGTTTTTCTTTCTTGCTGTGTACTCTCAAGCCGGTAAGAGATTAATCTCATTACGGAGCGCTAGCCACTAACTAATTCGAAGTCCGTGAACCGCTGGAGCGACTTGACCCCAACCATACAGTAGTTGATATCTGGGAAATTGTACTCTATGTCATGGCGCTGGCATTCTCGCTTGAAGGTAAGAGCATCCCACTGTTGTTTGAACAGTGGGCTGAGTTATGTTCCAGACATACTCAGGGTAACTTTTTTGCGTCTCAATCCACTGTAACGTCTTACAGGTCATCCCAGTTTTACAAGCTGTTCAAATATGCAACCTACCGCGCCTTTGGATTTTGGAATGCCGTCGCCTTTATAACGGATTCCATATTGCTGGCTGCATTTTTGCTTCGCATTGCTGGTCTTTGTGCCACTGGAAATAACTCCAACACTCTACGCTTAAGGAGCTTTCAAGTCTTGAGTTTCGTTGCCCCATTCATATGGTTAGCCAATCCTCGAATGATTAGGTAAAACATCTAACCAATTGTTCAGGATCAGTTGAGCTCCATATATCTGTTGGTGTTCCATTGACTCATGGCTTTTCGCTTCAGAGCTCATTACAATCTTTGATGGTTACCAGTAAGCACATATTGCGTCGTACTCGTATAGAAGGGTTGATGATTCCGCAGGTATGTTGGAACGATGCAAATATGCGTGGCTCGCATGCTACAAGAGTCGGGCATCTTCTTCGCGGTTTGTCCCCCTTTAGTATATGATCTTCCCGTTCCTTCACCTCTGTGCAGCTGTTGTCGGTGCTCGGGATTGGATTCCTGCAGGGTCTATATGCTCTAGATGCTGCCGACGGTTTAAGTGAAGATCCATCAATTGTATGTCCGACCTTTCCTCTTCTTATCCCTGTCTAATTTCGGTCAGATCGTCAATGTCCTTGTTCAAGGCTTACTTCAGTCAGATTGGATATTTGATTCTTCATTTGAGCACCTGCTGAATTTTCTTAGGTCTCCCAACTACGACAGGTTCTCGGGCAGGTAAAGTCTAATATCCATATTTTGGATGTCTCTAAACAATGTTTGCAGCCCCGTTGGACTTACGTTATACTATCTGTTAGTGCCCGTTTAATGATTCCGCGCGCTTGCTGATCGACAAGCTCTATTTCAGCTGGAATGTTACAACAGCGATTATCCTACTCAATGTCCTCATCTCTTTGTTCTCTTCAGCCTATGCTGATGTCGGTATTTCGTCTTTGTATGAGGTTTCATGGGCTCAACGAATGGTCAGGTCGTCAGTGACGCTGAAGCAGAGTATATGACATTCTATGCAGGAAAAACTGTTGCCATGATCCGCGCTCCTGATTCGTATATCTATCCCGCGCCATTCAACCTAGTAGAGATTTTCTTGGTAGCGCCTTTTGAGTAGGTTTTCTATTCTTGTGGCCCTTCGCAGTTATTAACTTCTTTTTGAGAATGTTTGGCCTGCAGCCCCGGCCATATGCGAAAGTGCGGCACGACTCTTCAATTTGCGATCTGTACCCCTGACCTTTTTGCAGCTCAATCGGGACATTATGGGCATAATTTTCTTTGTTCCGTTAACTTTCATTGCGCTCTTTGAGACATCAAATATGACTAAGTCGTGGATGGTCAACTCAGATGATGAAGTGGACACCGAAAACCCTGTTGTTCTGGATCCCGTAGTCGAGGGGCCAGACGCAGACCAAGGCTCGGAGATCAGTAAGATCCCCTTTGATGAGCTTGTCAAGAGGTTCCCCAATACGGAACAAGTAAGTCTTTTCCAACTTTTTTCTGCGTTGTCCACTGACGTCTTTATAGTCGATGGAAGCTTCGATTATTAAGGAGATTAAAGAAATCCGGGCAAGGTTGGAAGTGTTGACGACGAAAGTGGACCGCTTGCACACCTAGACTTTACATCAGTACTCCATTCGCCTTCGGACGTGGATAATACAGGTGGATGATCTATGATGGACTAGAGTTCTTCTTCTTTTGTCGGTGGAAATACTGAATGTTGTACGTATCAGTTTCTTACTGTAAAAATTGCGGTGTAACGCGGATCCGTGCGAAGATCATCAATCAAGTCCTACGGCGTACTAAGGAAATTAAGAGCTGTTGAAAGCCTTCTGAAGAATTTCGACTTCTACAGATCATCGTTGTCGAGTACTGTTAGGGATGCGGACGCACGCATCGTGAACCGGATTATCGGACAAGGTTAGTCATGGCATCAATGCAGAAGAGCTTATGTCCCAGCGCTAAACCAGCATCTTTTCTGTAGCTTAACAGAAACGGCGCATTTATTTTCGCGGTCCTAATTCGCGCGACTCTACAGGAACACCACCTTTGGTCTGCTATTGTGCGTTGGCACGCCGGGGTGTCCCTAGATCACACCTTGAACGCTATTTGTGTGATCCGACACGTTGTTGTCAGGAGTCCTCACCAGAGCTCTGAACGTGATTTAGCCTCCGCCAATTTACCTCAGGAACCCACTTGCAGGCGAGTTCAGTTGGTTTATCTGCACTGAAGCCAGAATTGAGAGCTTCTGCGGTTCCGTATACAAGGTGCGGGCCCAGACTCGACTCCGACCCGCAAAAACCGCCTGGACTCTCGAGGTACTCCTTCGTAGTTTTGAACCCATACCTTTCGCAGCAACATCTTGTATGATTGCATTGTCGGTCTTACTAACGAATTTGTAGTGTACTTAGAGATCGTTCACTGGAGACACTGCTGCAGAATTTGCAGCGCATTTTGGCCATATGTTGTCACAGCCTCCCCTGCCGAATTCTGACGACACATTTCTGAAATGAATTTCTTCATAAGATCCGTGACATTTCGGGATAGGGTCCCTACTAATAGTACTGCGGATATGGCAGTGGACCGTTCTTTGAACAGCCTCATCCAAAAATATTCATTATGGCAACATATTTCAGACTCTTTAAAGACCTCTAGAGAATCGTCCCGAACCAGATTTCTGCTCAAAGATGTTTACAGTCATGCTCCCATTCTTACATAGACTCTCTGAACTCACTGGCGCTTATAGAGTTCGACAAAGAAACCATAGCTTCAAAGAGGACCCTGACGGCTGGATCCCCTCGATCTAGATGTGAGTATTCTAGTCACAAAGAGAGTGCGAGTGACAAGCTTATTGTAGTCGCAGCTCATAACAAATGGGAAGATGAGCTACCAATTACGAGGGAGCTATAGGGGGGGACAATACAAGAAGTTCTGATTTCAGCACAGCTGCCCCCTGACCGCGGTGCACTCGAGCATCAAGGCCTCGAAGCGACCGCAGATCAAGACCATATAGAGTCCAGACCGTCGGCATCGTTTCTCGCTGCAGTGTCCAGCTGGATATGCTCCTCTACGTGTCAGCTGTGGGTTTCCATTGACAGACTGAACATCATTTGGTATACTGAGCTTGAATTTGATAATTATCTGTTCCGACGTGTCTCTGAACTTGAACTCGAACTTGCTAGTGGCCCACAGCAAAAACGCACGAAGAGCCCGTAGCAGAGGTACGATAACTTGAAAACTTCTATTAAACTGAGCTGGTAGGATGTAACTCGTAAATCACTGCAAATAAGACCATAGCATAAAAACATATGGCAACGAATCAATACGGAAAATGCGTGTAGAACGTGACGAAAGACATAAACATCTGCGTAAGTTGAATGCGTGAAATATAAAATGATAAAAAGAGCGTTGCACAGGATGCAGAATAATAAGGGCAATACGTCGTATATGAAACGTGAAGCCATGACGAAAACTCGCTGTGTGTTGTGAAAAGGGTTACTCATCTCAGAACTCATAAATCCCCATGACATGACATGATATTATCCATTAGACTTCGCTATGCCCCTCCACGAATCGAGCGAACTGGTCCAGCAGTTCCACCTTTTCTGTCTGTGATACCGACGAGACAGTGAGTAATTTTTCAATGCGCGCTAGGAGTCCCCGAGGCCCTTCTAGGGGTATCTGGTGCGCGTCAAATCGGTGAACATCTGCATAAGGAGATAACATCACGGTCAGACAAAATGATCAAAAGTAACAAGATAACATATAGAGGCGTAAAGTAGTACTAACACTTCTTGAACGTTTCGAATCCGGATTCGGAGAGTACGTTCTCAAAGACTTTCGTGACATCCTTCCCCCGATTACGCTCCTCCTCTTGCTTTTGCGAAAGGAGAGATCCATGTATAACGGCTTCTTGACGGACGCGATTAGGTGCCCAAGATAAGCCAAGTTTAAGATCGAGTGAGCGGCCTTTGCCCTTCTTGCCGCCTTGCTCGTATATTTGTTGCACGCGGCCACGAGCACTTTGGCTCTTGTCGCGTGTAGAACCTCCCCAAAGCCCTAACTCACTCCGTAGAGGAGAGCTGGGGGGCAATGAGGCAGGTCCTTCTGGTATGTCAAACTCTTGTCGATGAGGGGATGACGGATAGGGGGGCAGTGCAGAGGAGGTCGGTAAAGGAGAACTTGAAACCGATGAAGCCGGCTCGAAGGGGAACGGTCCGTGTGACGTGCGTTGAGTTCGTCTACCTGATGCGCGTCCCCAACTGGATGATTGTCCGGGACCAGGGGCAGACTTTCCCGTCGACTTCGACTGTGCAGAGGCGGATGCGGATGAGAAGGAAACCACCGAGGTTTCGCCCGTATGGCTGGCAGAGAGCTGGGCAAGAATGGGTGAGTCGGCTCGGGTGGGATGGTACGCGAATTTTCGCGACTTCCCTGTACGATCAGATGATGATGATGCCGTTCGTTCTAAGGCTGTCGGTCGATGAGTCGCGGCGCCAGTTTTACCAGATTGTGTTAAACCTTCGCCTTTCACTAGCGATGCATCGACTGTTGAGCTGCTCCTGTTTAGACCAGAAACGGGTCTCTCAAAGTCAAAGCTTCCATGTTTGATGCGACGGTTGGTCATATTTCGCGGAGGACCGACGGCTCCAGGGGGATCATGCCGACCACCGAGTTTGTGCTTCTTGCTTTCTCTGGATAAATCTTTGCCCCCGAACAACCGGGGTGGGAATCTGCTACGCATGCGGCTGTATGCAGGATCTCCGTCGGAACCAGGACTCAGAGCTGCCTGTGCATGCAACTTTGGAAGCTCGCTGTGAACAGTGATCGGATCCTTGCTGAGTAGAACTTCGCGCGCCTTCCCCTGTCCTCCGCTCAACGTTGGTGGTGTGGTAGCGGGTCGCACTGGAGGATCTAATTCCGCTGTTCTTTGTGGAGTCGGCGGGGTATGAATGATTTGCGGTATGACTGGTCTTGCTTGAGGTGCACAAATCAGAGGCTGTTGTTCTACTGCATCTTCTTCAGACATAGGCTCTACCGTGGGCAACAGCGACACCACGAGACCACTGAGGTCATACTGGTCGGGTGAGTCGTTTTGCGGTAGCGGCGGGGATAAGTTGATGATGGGAGATGTCTCCTCCGAAAGTGAGCCAAAAACACTAGGGCGCGAGTCATCCAAGCGAGGTGTCTTTCGCGCTTGTGACCGCAGTTTCGAACTGCTGGTATCACGTTCATGTTCCTTGCCTTTGCGGGATTTTCCGAAGCGACTAAGGGTAGAGGCACTGGTCTTCGAATTAGATCTAGTGTTTATATGACTTGACAAAGTAAGAGCGCTGTCCGAATGGTCATCGGGTAATGCAACGGCACTGTCATGAGCAGTGTCATGAGATCCGACAGAGTGTCGTTTGTGACGCGACGGGAGAGCTAGGGGAAGGTGGCCCGATGATGTCATTGGCGTATGCGTACGAGAACTTGAGGTCAATCCAAATGAAAGTCTGCGGGGAGAGGCGGACAGTGGGAGAGGATTGGAGGGAGTGGGTATTGTGCCAGTGGATGTTTTCGTAACGCGTGATTCATCAGTAGACTTTGGAGTGTTTGGTCTAGAGTTGAGCCTGAATGATCGTTTGCGAGAGGGCATGTTCTCAGCTTCCTTTTGAGAGAGGGATGAACATGATACTTTGCGGTCAGAAGATCCTGGTGACAGTTTTCGGGACGAGTTGGCCAGCGATGATTTCCGTGGCAGGGCAATGCCAAAAATGGAGCGCAGCTCTAACTTCCCGCGCTGATTGAGAGAAGAGGGGGTGTTTGAACGAGTTGCACGATCATGGTCCTCCTGAGATGCGGCCTGATCTTCGTTGGCCTGGTGATCGAAATCTTCTCCTTGGGTGTAATCGTGCGAGTAAACATGATGTGACAACCTTTGTCTTCTTCTAATAGAGTCGGAAGGAAGAGGGGTGATCGTGGAGTGTGTGGCAGTGGTCGTGGATGATATTGGGCGTGTCGAAGTATGCGTGCCTGGCTTAGAATTTGACTGGCTTGCTGAAGCGGCCAGACTGGTGTGGGCTGCATGCCCTGGTTCGTACGCCAGACTGGTGGAACGCACATGACTGATGCGAAGCTTAGAGGCAGGCACCATAGGTAGGGTTGGTACATCTGTCGTGGATTGCGCAGCACTTGAACTGACAGTCGATTTGGCGTGGGGTCTGGAGCGAGAACGAGAGCGAGAGCGAAAGAAGGCAACGATCTGATGATACCATGTATAAGCTCATGTGTACAAGACTGAAATAAGCGAGCGCACCCTGTTTTCCTTTCGCGCAGGACGACTGATTCCAGGCTCAAGAGACGATGAGGCAAGGGCAAGAGCGGTCATGGTGCAAAAAATGCGCAAACTTTTCTTTGTGCGTTTGATGGTGGAACCACCATCAGCTACTGGAACTCCAGGAAACGGAAGTGGGGCCTCGTTTGGGGCTAAGCTGTGCAGGTATCAATTCTGTAACAAGAATATTGTATTAGAGGATAACATACAAGACGCTTTTTGACTTTGACCTGAGTTGGAGAGTGACCGTCTTGGACTGGTAAGCCAGTCGCGGAGTGAGGACGGACGAGCTAAAGACAAGTCAAGCACGTGTTGTGAGCAAGGCATGTGCGAGAACGGATTGAAACGGAACGAAACTATTACTTACGGTGACTCGGAGAAACACGTTGTCTCGACCTACTTGCTTGCACACGACACACACACTGTCGGACTACTACGAAAATCTAAGACAGGTCACGGTCCCGGACTTGAAGGGTTCGTGCAGTTTTGCAAGCAACCAAATTAGGACAGACCCTAGTTTAGGGTTAGGTGCACGTGCATGTGATTGTTGCGTGATTGTTTCTCATCGATGTCATCTTATGGAACTCATGGCTCAGCTGACAACTCCTCGGGCAGTCCATGAGCATCGTATAGCACTTTCATGTCTACTTCGCACATCTGACTACCATGAATTTGATAGCCAGAAATTCATTCAGACTCAGAGCACTTCCGCACCGTCTGAGCAGTCTTACTTTTCTGCGACATCAGGCAACATGCGCAACCACAGCAATACCATCTTTTCCTTGCGTCGATGCTCATGCAGCTCGTGAATCTAAGATATTGGCTTCCTCGACCTACCGTTATTCACAGACAGGCACACGAGCATCATCAAGTGACAGTGGTCCGGAACCTCCTTATGCTCGCCCTAATCCACTCTCATATAATACGTACCGCCATCAGTATCCCCTTGAATTGACGTATGGGTCCACGCTACCGTCGTTTGACATCGCCTATGAAACATGGGGTACTCTCTCTCCATCCCGGGATAACGTGATTTTACTCCATACTGGTCTCTCTGCATCTTCGCATGCCGCCTCTACGGAACTTAACCCGACAGAGGGCTGGTGGGAAAAATTCATTGGCCCAGGTCGTGCACTCGACACCAACCAGTTTTTCGTAATATGCACAAACGTGCTGGGAGGATGCTATGGTTCCACAGGTCCTTCCTCGCTCGATCCAGAAGGTCAACGATATGCAACTCGATTCCCGATCCTATCTATCTTTGACATGGTGCGGGCCCAATTTAAGCTGCTCGACCATCTGGGCGTGCAGAAGTTGTATGCCAGTGTCGGCTCATCCATGGGCGGGATGCAAAGTCTTGCTGCAGGATGGCTCTTCCCAGACCGTGTGGGCAAGATAGTGAGCATTAGCGGTACCGCCAGGAGCAGTCCAGGTAGCATTGCAATGCGTCACGCTCAACGAAGCGGTCTGTTGTTCGGATATCTTGCAATATATCTCCTTGCTGAAGGTCACATTAGTTCTCATGGCAGATCCACACTGGAACAATGGCTTTTATTACGATGACCTACCACCACACACAGGGATGAAATTAGCTCGTCGTAAGTCTCCTTTCAGTCCCACGGTTCACATCATAGAGCTACAGTTGTCGGTCGTGCAGAAATAGCGACCATAACATATCGCTCAGGTCCTGAGTGGGACCAACGATTTGGAAGGAAACTTCGGAAACTGAAAGATGGAGAGAGCCCGTCTCCGTTGCGGTCGCCGACATTATGTCCTGACTTCCTCATCGAAACCTATTTAGACCATCAGGTCAGTGCTTACCCACCTTGGTCACCTTCCAGTCAAAGTCACTGAAATTTATCATGTAGGGAGAGCAATTCTGCCTGAAATATGATGCCAATTCTCTCCTTTACATCTCAAAGGCAATGGATCTCTTTGACCTTACCCTCCCTGCTCTTCGAGAACTCGCAATGACCACCGCAACACATGCTCAGCCATCACCATCAACGTCATCTTCTCGGCAATCTACAGTACCGTCTAAATCTCATCCACCACCATTGCACTACGCACCGCACTTTCCTGAGCTCGCTGCTGGCCTTGAGCCGCTCAAATCGATGCCCATTCTGGTACTTGGGGTTCAGAGCGATATCCTTTTCCCGGTCGAGCAGCAGCGTGAGCTCGTCGATGCACTTCGTATGGCTGGGAGTACGCAAGTTAGCTACTTTGAGCTCGGTGGGGTCTGGGGACATGATACCTTTTTGTGAGTGCTACTCCTTCACCTTTTAAGTTGGCTCGATTGGGTGGCCACGGTGTGGCCGCATCTGCTCCGGTCTTGCATAGCCTCCCCAATCAGAGTTCCAATCTTCGTGATTCTTCCTTCATGCACCGCTTTGCGGGGCCAATTGCAGTATTATCGCAGATTGCGTCGCTTATTGTTTTATTTTCTCAACGTCGTGTTTCTGTTAGACTGGTTTACTGACTGCCCGTATTCCGTTTTTTTACCCAGACTCGACGTATTGAACGTTGGAGGGGCGGTAAGGGGGTTCCTATCCTGACGTCGTCCGGTGTTTTGGTATCGTGCCGTTTGATCGGTGCAACGTACTTGCTACGCAGTTCTAGAGTCCTCAGGGAGTACTTATGTCAGTCCTACTAGCTGTCTTAATATTCGGGTCATGATCAATGTGGCATTGACTTCTTCAACTTCTAATACTCACGGCCCCACACGCTAACTTAAATTTTGTATTGACTATGGAGCTAAGTACCAGTGTGGTATGCTGGCATGCCGTGGCGCTGATCGTACGCTGGTCCTCAATGATTAATGATGCCCAAACGTCCAAACGCAAGTGCCATAGTGCTACATATTGCATGCCAATCCGAGTCAAATTAGTGGAGCGGTGGTCGGACTTGCTCCTCGTCGATCTTGGGAATAAAGTTTAACTTTGAAGGTGGCGACTGTGGGCGCACGGTGAGAATTGTAAAATAATTAGCCATTTGCAGAACACTAGGCCAATCGTCCAAAATAAAACAGGACAACGTTGTTTGAATTACAATGTCCGACCAGACACCACTGGGCGTGTAACGTCCTGTAATGTCCCATGGTAGCAACACGATTGATTGTCGGAAGTTGAAAGTTCGGTGGTTTGACTTCTTGCCGACTTATGTTTTCTTTTTTGGGATTGGCAGTTCTGTAATGCTAGAATAATAACCCCCCGGCAGCGTTGGCTTGTCTGCACTGCCCACACATTTTATGAAGCTAATCAGAGCATGGTGACCGAGGGTTCTGCTTAATTTTCGGAGCATCAAAATACAAGCAAATCAGATATGAACTTTTTGAGGAGGAAACAAAGTTAAGTTTGTGTAGCACATTGGTTGGTTGAGTGCCATAAAATAGTGTAAAAAGAGGATAAAAATCGTGGTGAGCTCGTCCGTGAGCAGGCAAGACCCGGAAACAAAGCGGAAGCATTTCGGTTTACGTCCGTTGATGAAATATATGGAGAAGATAAGAGGTGACGCGTTGGATGATGCTGCAATTTCTTCTTCTCTCTGGGCCCCCTTGGTCTTAGGCACACATTGAATTCGGGGTGCGGCAAACACTAGGAGAACGAGAGGTAAGGGACTTATTGTTCAGACGGCACATCACCACCTGCCTTGTGATAACCCAGCATTTTGGCGGAATATCGGAAGGTCCATGGAGTTTAAAATAAGGTACATTTTGGCGCAACAATTTTCTGGATGGAATAGCTGACAAGCTATTGGACAACTGGTAAAGGGTTCAAGGTTGCGAAGCTTGAAGTAATTTGTTTTACCATATGAAATTGACCAAGTTAGCACAGGAGAAAAGCCACGCCTTGCCACATAACTCCCAGCATTACGCGGCCTCCGACAACAAAACATTGGGCGTCAGCCTTTCTCGACAAAACGCGTTATTCGATTCCCTTTGCGACGTACCAGCATGTTGGCCGAAAAAATTAATTAACTGACTGACCACCTCGTGTTATCCAGCGGTATAAAATACTTGCCCGAGGTTGGCTTTCCTCACCGCAATGTCCACCCTTTTCCCCCAAGTCAACATCCCCGCGCTGAAGAAATTCGCCGTCACAGCTGCAGTAAAGCACCATCCTGTCAAAGCGACAGGTAGACGGCACCTAACCCCAGTGGTGGCGAGTGTCGAAGACGTCAAATGGGCTGGAGAAAAGGTCAGGTTGATCATTTCCAAATAACCATCCGAACCTCACCATTACTCTGGATGGGTTGCAGATGATTCAGATTACGTTCGAACGCACCTCCTTACCCCTTGGGCCATACACCATGATGGCGTATTTTCCTCGCGGACGCGAGAGGCTAACAACGCAGGCTGTGGTGCGCCACACAAAAGTGCCCATTAGTGGCCTGCGCGTACTTACCTCACTCCCAACAGTTAGGCATGATGGCCGCTGTTAGAAATTCGCCCCTGAAGATCAAGGTGCCCAAAATCTATGGGTACCAGGACCTCCTACCCAATGACATCGGAGCTGAGGTAGTCCTCATGGAAAAGGTAGCGTGTGCCGACTGCTCGACAGTAGCTCTACTACATTGTTACACTTCTTTGTGTGCAGATACTCGGGGAGAATCTTCAGGATGTGTGGCCCACCCTTACGCCCGACGAGGAGCTCAAAGTCTGTGGCAAGCTGGTCGACCTGCTATTGAAGTTGTTCAACACCCGCGGAAACTTGATTTGCACCGACCTTCTTGGTACAGGCATCGACACCTCCGTATCCAGTGCCCTCATACAGGAAGGAGAGCAACACCAAAACCCTGACGGGTTCTCGCCGTTGATTTTATCGCGCCCGTTTAACGAGCCACCGTTGGATACAATGATCCCACAATATGCGCTGTGCACTAACGCTGACTATCTAACAGCACTGTGCTGGCGCGTGAAACGCCTTTGCGGTAGCAATGAGGATATCATCGCTCGAGCCTGCGACACAGGATTTGCAGATAATCCGCTACTAACAATAGAAGACATGGTGCAAGCCAGAGAAACCTTCGGACGGCTGACCAGCATAATCCCACACCATATCGGAGGATTCTATATCCCAGAAAAGCTCTCTCGCGCAGCGAGGGAAGAGGCCTATTCGATCCTGCAAAACAAGAAATTTGGCATCTGTCACGGTGACATGCAGATGTATCGTTTCCTCGTCCGGTTCCTGCCAAATCAAGATGGGGAACTTCGCACTCCCGGCTCAGATATCGAGCTCGTGCTTTGCACGGGGTGGGAGCACTCATTCCGTGCGCCACTTTGGTCATGCGCGCGCATGCCACTCTGGCTCATCAGCCGGCCAATCTTGAACGAGCCCATTTCCTGGGATCGCCAAAGACAATTGCGTAATGCCATCTACGACATGATGAATGAGCCCAGTAGAATCGAGAGTGCCCGGGAGTGGATCATTTCGTACGTATACGGACGTGCCGAGCGGTGGTTCGAGGGATGCGTCAGCGCGCATTGGATGTACGGTCGGAACATTGAAGCGAATTTGGTGGACCTCAAGAAGTATTGGGAATTTTGGCGTCCGGACATCCAGTTCCCGTTCGAGGTGGGAGTGGAGTACACTCGGCAACGGCAGGCTCTATCCTGGCATGGGTCGGCAGACGAACCCATCACCGCACCTGTTACTGGAGAACTGGTTATTCCCCTCCTTTCTGCGAGCCCTCTTGGAAATTTGCTTGGAATGGGTAGATCTTGAAACGCATGTGATTTCGAAGTTGGCATTGGAGTGTCTCCTGTTAAATTATATTGTGTACGAAGGTCAATAAGTTGTACCGTATGTCGGATATCTCCTCACAGAATATTTTATGCACTTCAGTGAAGATTATTTTGCACGCATGCGAGCAAATACTGGTGCCATTGTACAGTTAACGTTAGAGATAGAAGAAACGGACAAGATTAATACATTAAAGGTCTGGGGCCTGTCACTACAGACAATGTGGACGCTTGTACAGGCGTTCGCGACCCATGCAGACCCCAGGAACTCTGTACGAAGAATTTGCACATACCACTTCTGGATATTACTATACCTTCAGGTCGAAGTGCCAACCACTACGTAGTACCAACAATATCCTTCCATTTTACTTTTACCACCTGTACATAGTTGATCATGAATCGCATATTTGGCTCTTCTTCAAGCAAGAAGCCAAAATCGACACTCCAGGATGCCATCAATGCAGTGAGTAGGCTGTCATCAAAATGGAGCTCAGGCTAACTCACTGACATCAGACAGATGCGCGCGTTGCCTCCGTAGAAGTAAAGATCAAGAAGTTGGACGGAGAGCTCTTCCGCTATAAGGAGCAAATGAGCAAATTGCGCAATGGACCTGGTAAAGTGCGCGAACGCCTCGCCTGGTACTGCGCTTGCTAATCAATTGTGTCATACGTGTGCACGACACAGAATGCGATCCAACAGCGGGCTTTGAGAGTACTGCAGCAGAAGAAGCTGTATGAAGGGCAACTAAACCAGCTCCAGCAGCAGACATTCAATATGGAGTCCGCTGCCCTCACCACTGATAACCTACGGAATACGATGGCCACCGTGGATGCCATGAAACTGGCGAACAAGGAGATGCGTAAACAGTACGGAAAGATTGATATCGACAAGATTGAAGTGTGTCTCATGTTGTATGCTGTCATCAAGGAGCTCATTTATTACTCAGAATATGCATTATGATATGGAAGAGCTCCTGGAACAGGCGAACGAGATACAAGAGTCTCTGGGCCGGTCATATGCCGTTCCAGATGAGATTGACGAGGCAGATCTTGAGGCTGGTACGTACACACATAGCTTTTCATCTCAGTTATTTCGAAACGTCATTATCACAGAATTGGATGCCTTACAGCTTGAGGAAGAGGAAGAAGGTCCCTCATATCTTTCAGACCTCAATAAGGTCCCAGACTTCGTTGATGAGACTCCTGTAGAGATAAGCGAGGTATGTCCAACGATCAATTCATTGACGTGTTTAACTTAACTTGGTTGGATAGCCAACCACAAAGGAGGCCGTTAAGACAACATGATGAGCTTTCAAAGTTTGTATTGTGTATGTCACCTTAAAGACGAGTAAACATGTATCCTGCGGTAATAATGTACACTAGTAGATCCTACGCATACCACCATTTCATAGAGATAATCTACTATGCCACGAACATCACATTAGCCATATCTCTTCTGTTCTCCGCTAAACCAGTCGTCAGTTCGAGACTCATCAGCTGACGCCACATTGACGATGGTCGATTTGCTCTGAGAGTCTGTATACATATTGAGCCAGACCTTTGTTATTCGAGCTAGCGAAACTCACAAGCTTCCAATGCCTCGATACCATTTTCCCGACCTATGCCACTCTCCTTCATACCACCCCTTACATGCCACTGTGAGATCGTGAAGTTTACTCATCGGCTGAGTCACTCACCATGGCGAGCTTGGGTCATTGCGGTGATGAGTGTTCACCCAAACAAGACCAGCGTCAATATTAGCAGCAACTCGATGTGCTCTTGACAGATCCTGAGTCCAGACTCCCGCTCCCAGTCCGTACTTGGAAGCATTGGCAAGTCTAACTCCATCGGATTCAGTCTGAGGGTGAACTCAGCGTTGAAGAACCTCGCTCGCATCATAATATAACTCACAGAGAACTTTTTCACGACCATCACAGGGCCGAAAATTTCCTCTTGCCATAATTCATGACTGACATCAACATCAGAGATCACGGTAGGCGGGTAGAAGCTCCCGTGAGAGAAATCGAAATGGTCGAGGAGGGACTTCCCCAACATTCGCTTTCCACCCGTTAAAATTGTGCCTGATTGCCGTCGTGCTAGCATGTCATCGATTCTATTCAGGTGGTGGGAAGATATAATAGAGCCCATAGAGCATTTTTCGTCCATAGCTTCGAGAGACATCATTCCTGAGTACTGAAGGAATGTTGCACGACTCACGGTCACCCATCCTCTGTGTGATACTTTCAACTTTCTTCAATAATTCCGTCATGAAAGATTCATAGATATTTTCCTGTATGATGATGCGGGTTCCCGAGACACACGTTTGGCCGGACGCAACGAACGCCGCAAATGCGACCCCATTGACAGCAGAAACAATATCTGCATCATCAAAGATAAGTATCGGGGTCTTTTAGAGGTATGAGTGAATTCTCCAGTTCGAAAATAGACTATGTAGTGCTGACCTTTCCGCCCAGCTCAGCTGTAAAGGCCGCGAGGTTCGAGCCAACGATGGCTCCCAGAGCCCGACCAGTCCGGGTACCGGCCTAGATCCACTGTGAGCCGAAGATAGTGCATGAGAGTAAGAACGCACTGTGATGTCGACCTTTCGAACGAGGGGATGAGTTGCGAGTTGTTTCCCCGTAGTGTGGCCGTAGCCAGGGAGGATAGTCAAAACTCCGTCAGGAACTTGGTTAAGATTTCAGCACATATGTACAAGCACAACTGCCTATAAGCAATCCATGAGTGATTGTACTTACGACCAGCTTCCTGAGTTAGGTTTGCAAACTCCAGTAGGGATATGGGAGTAAGCTAGTTTGGGATGAGTGCTATATCAACAAAAGACTGCATAATTTATAAACCTCAGATGGCTTGACAATGACACTATTGCCAGCAGCAATAGCAGGGGCAATCTTCTTGATGGCAATAAAAAGAGGATGATTAAATGGCTAAACCAAACCGAGGTGAGGTGACAAGTCAAAGATGTTACGAAACACACAGTGATCTGTGCCACAACTCCCAGAGGAACGCGTTGAATGTAATTAAGCAACTTCCCTTGAGTAGGGGCAACGAATCCTTGGTTTGTGCGTAGGAGTGCTGCATAATAGCTCCTACTCAGCGTGTCAGACCATCGTCATAATTTGCAAAATAACTACTGACAGCCAGTCAGGAAGACGACTCATTTGTGCATTCATTTCCCGGATAGGCCTCCCTGTTTGCAGAGTATCTATTCGGGCCATGTCAGGGATGCGCCGCTGAAGAGAGTCCGCTAGCCGTGAGAGGACAGACGAGCGATGCATTGACGAAGCCTTCGACCATATCCCAGAGTCAAACGTGGTCTGGGCATGAGACACGGCCCATTCAACCTCGTCGGACGATGCTGCGTCGACACTACGCTCGATTTGATGCTTGAGCGCGCATTATCATTACTTGGGAACAACATACGTGCACAACCGTTTCCCGTTAGCGGGGTTGGTCACGGTAATTCTCTCTGGATCCCTGATTGCTGAAGGAGGTTTGTCTTTCCATTGAACAAAGGACGGTCGTCGGTAGTGATCCTGAAAGAGGAGACCCTTGCGTTGCAGGGATACTTTGATACCATCTGCCGGTACTACACGCATGGTACTGTACTACTTACTAAGACGAGCAGCAGAACAAACAAATATTCGAGCGCCACTAACGCGTCAATTCACGTGATAACCTGATTTTGCTGTTGAAAAGCCGAAAGCATTACATACCATCCACGGAGTCGTTGTGGATGGACCTGTCCACTCGCTTCCATCTCAACCACCACCACCATTGTCCATCTGTGGCACTTTAATCGCCACAAGACCAGATATTTAATCTCGCATATACTTTTACGACTTACATATCCCTAGCTATCTATATTCCCAATGTCCAACCCACCTCTCCGCAGATCGGCTCGTGCAGCCTCACAAAAACCTGAGGAACCCAAAGCAGCAGCTATTAAGGCCGCTGTTGCAAAGACAACAGCACCTAAAGCCGAAAAACCAACCCGGCCTGTTGCGCGCACACCCAGTCGCACCAAGAAGCGTGCTGTCTCCCCGGAAGCGTCTCCGCCGCCCACCAAGCGTTCTCGGCCCAAGACCGGTGTATCCGATGCAGAGGATGCTAAAAAGGCTCCTTCCAAGAAAGTCGCAGCCACGATTGCGCCCAAAAAACTTACCAAGCAACCAACCGCAAATGGTCTTACCCCGGTTCACGAGCCGAAACCCCATTTCAACCCTTTGCCTATGGCTAACGGCCACCCTCGACCTGCTAATCAGCTCTTTGTCTGGGGTGCAGGGAACTTTGGTCAGTTTGGGTGGGGTGCCAACCAACTCGGGGAATTCGCTGTTCCCAAGCGCAACACATGGTTCGAGAAAAAGATGGAAGAAGGTGTCTTCGGCGGGGAAGGCGCCGGCCTCGAGGCCATTGCTGCAGGAGGTCTCCATACCCTATTCATTGATGAGAAAGGAACTGTGAGTTCAATTTCCGTGCCGTGGTCTACTTCTGTTAACAAGATTTTTTATTAGGTGTGGTCATGTGGTGTGAATGATGACGCAGCACTAGGACGTGTCACCAAGGATGTTCCAGATCCAGATAATCCTGAAAAGTTTATCCACATTGACGAGCTTACCGCTATCCCGTATCCTCTTCAGTCGCTTGTCGATGAGGGATTCCGCGCAGTAAGGATTGCTGCTGGCGATAGTATTTCTGCCGCTATCAGCGATGACGGCGAACTTCGAGTCTGGGGTTCTTTTCGGGTAGGTGCCCATTTTCATCTGCTCACACATTTTCTAAGTTAAGATTGTTTCTCAGGCTGCAGAAGGCTCCCTTGGCTTCTCTGGCGACGTGCGATTAGAATTCCTTCCCAAAGCGATATTAAATTTGCCCACAAAAGCAGGCGATGCTGAGAAGGCCGTCTCCGTTGTGTCAGGCAACAACCATCTTCTTGTGCTAACTACGCGTGGCAACGTCTACGCTTGGGGTGCTGGAGAGCAGGGCCAGCTCGGTCGCAAAATTCTCGAACGTCGTAAGATCCATGGCACAGTCCCTGAAAAAATCATCCTTGGTACCCGCCACAACCGTGCAGTATTGGTTGGCGCAGGAAACTATCACTCGTTTGCCATCGACGAAGAGGGCGACGTCTGGGGTTGGGGCTTGAATACGATGGGTCAGACAGGCACCGGCGTCGCGGAACCAAAATCGATGTCCGACGAAGTGCGGTCACCAAGAATCATCCGGTCGCTGTGCCAGAGGACCCTCGGTGATTCAATCGTGCAGATCGCAGGCGGTGAACATCACACTCTTTTCCTGACTTCAACTGGCAGTGTGTATGCGTGTGGTCGGTGTGACGGTGGCCAGCTCGGTATCAGCGACGAGGTCGAGGAATATGCTTCACGAAAGAACACCGATTTCGTGCCAGAACCTATGTTGGTTTCGTTCCCGGACCAGGACGATCCTATCGTGTTCATTTCGGCCGGGACACATAATAACATGGCTATCTCTCATGCAGGCGCGCTGTACGCATGGGGAGAAGAGTCTCAAGGAGAGTTGGGTGTCAACGAAAAGGAGGCCAAGACCCCAACGGTGGTGGTGCGCAAGGATGGTGGCGCATGGAGGGCAGTGAGCGTTGCCTGCGGTGGCCAGCACACTCTTGGGATGTTCAGAAAGAAGACCTAGCATGATTCGGCTGTTATCCAGATATCAACTATCGATTGCACCATATTCCATTTCACCTACTTCGTTGTGTACACATGCTCTTATCCATGAACTGTGGACTAAACGATACTTTCTTGCATGCATACCCGGCCATCCAGACCACCACCCCACCACCCTGCATTCGAATCGTAATGTATGACATTGCCTGCACTATAGATAATATACAATGTTTATGCGAATTTCGTATCTTGGCGTATTTCATGAGTAAGTAGCTGCCAGACGTCCTACAATGTATTGCTCTGTAGTGATTGGAGGATATTTGCTTGGATTGGATGTACTTGTGCAACTGGGCAAACTCTCGATGATGGCATCGAAATTCGGGTTGCAGAAGAATGCAATTGACTGCCGCGCGGGTGTCATGCCTTCGGTAGCGTTGACCTTTATTGCAGGCGGGGCAACTACACGATGAAGAGTTGAACGGAGGACATTGTTGCTCCAGCGTGCCAAAAGGTCCCCAGCGTTGATGACAATTGTTCCGGGCTATCGGGATAGGGGGTTAAAGACTCGAAGAGCAAGCCGAGTGGAAGACAACGAACAATGGGTGAAGCAGGTTGATAATGTTCAGTATGAGGGTTTTGGACCTCTAAACCACCAATGGAATCCTGGAACAAGAGTGTCAAAGTTCCATAATCTAAGAGACAATGCAAGTCAAATTCGACGAGTGTCACTAAAAAGGAACGAACTTGCCTGTATGAGAACCAGCCCTAGCTTGACCATCGCCTAAAAGTAAAGAGGTTCGAATAGGAGGATAGGACAAAAGTCGTAAGTTATGGTCCTGACGATCAATCTTATTGTCGAAGAAATCCTCAGGAAGGTCAAGACCTAACGCAATTGACTTCATGACCATAGTATGCACTTCGTGGCAAGTCTACAGTAACAGAGACCCACGGTCAAATCACTGTATCACTATACATGACACATTTCAGCGCGCACGCACCTGGAAAAAGTGGAGCATCGTCTGCTTAAACTCAGGTACTTCAGTTTCCTGAGGCCACTTGTTACTGAACGTCGGATGATTTTCACGTCCAATTTCCATGGATTCCTTGGTGTCTGGAGCCTTTGCGCGTAGTGAAGCGATCTCGGCCGCATCCAGTGCATTGGAGACACGCTCACGGCCAACTTGAACATAACCACGGTTAGCTTTAGGGTCGTCCCATGCCAACCTTGCCTTGGTCTCTTCGGGTAATTGGAAGAATTCTGCACTCTGAATACACGATTGGTTATGAACATCCATCCTACTCACCGATTATAAAATGCGAATACTAGCCTTCTGGAATACGCGGTTGACAGTCTCGGGTTCAATCACATGGCCTGTTAAATATACAAAGCCAACTTCTTTGAATCCGTTTACAATGTCATCCGCGATGCGACGCTTCTCAGCCAAAGAGGTGGCTTGTTTATAAGCTGCGAAGTCAATGAGGGGTATCCTGAAAGTTGAATCCGAGCGAACATCCTGTAAATGCTAGGTTGAGCATTACACTAAAACGCGGGTGAAATGCAACCAACCTCGGCAAGTGTACTACTGTATCTGGGTGCAGCTATGAAATGCGGGCGGGCTGCACGGAACACGACTTGGCGTATAAATGGTCTTAAGACGAGCATTTGATTGGCAGATATTACTGGTACTGGCGCGAAGGCAGGGATGCAATTTCAAATTGACTACGTAGAGTTGTTGTGACCCTCGTAGTTATGATCAACGTGTTAACCTCTGGTGCTGACTTCAAAGTTCAAACTGACTTTGTGCTGACCCATCCAAGTATGCTCGGCATTCGCCGCCGCTCTATCAATGGCACTAGCGTTGTCGCTTGATTCTTGACCGGGACCACCGGGTCAAACTGGGATCGACTCCAATCGAGGCAACGCGAGGTTTGTTCTTCAGCTATTTACGGGCTTTTTGTCCGAGGTGCCGAACTAGTACTGAGCAAGCTGAGGCCTGGAATCTGTATTAGTCGCTTCTACGCAAAATCTATGCACGGCAAGACAATATCGACAGCACGGTGAGCCGATGTTGTCGTCATCTCTTGCTGGATCCTCATGAGTTCGATGTGTTTAAACGCAGCTGACGAGGCGTTGTCTGATTCTTACAAAATGACGGTTTATACTGCCTCTCCTCAGCTGCGCTCTTTAGCTGCGTTCAGCTAAAGAATACAGCTAAGCATATGTGCCATTGGCATCTGAGTCTGTCTTCAGTGTAAGGATGACAAGCTCACAAGTAAGGGCAGACAGAGACAGGCTACCAAGAAGGTATGCGATTGGGAGAAACCCGCCTTCTTCCTATTCGTGTTAAGGCTTCGTGATGAGAAACAACGATCGCCATCTCACCAGCACAACTGGACGATTTCCCGATCTTGCCTCAGTGATTCCCATGACTCCTATCGCCTTGTCTTATGCGAAGGATGCTGTGCTGTTAACATACTATGACTCTAAAGGACACTGAAGCAACAAAAATGGATCATGTGCCAGTGAGGCTCACTAGAAGATGATTTCGTATCTAGGACGGAAACCTGTCATTATTACATTGTAGTAGCATGTCAGGGTTGTGACATAAGAAAAATGAAAACTCCATGACCTCCGTGCAACTGCCATGGATCGGAATGGTGATCAATCATTCGGACTGCAGCGCGGCCCCGCTTGGTTCATGTTATTACAAAAAATCATATAGCAAGATTCTTGCTTTGGCATACAATCGAGCTAACTGGCTAACACAATCATTCATCGATAAGAGTCATCGGAAGGACGTCGGTGGAGATGGGCGCACCACAAGGACCTAAAGCTCGAGCTTGCTTTTACTTCAAAGAGTCTGTCGACGTAACTTCAGTAAAGACCCAAAGCCGGAGGAGTATTAGGCAAACCATTTCTCTCCGAGTCACTTTGTCCGAATTCATCATAAATGGCATCTTGAAGACCAGATATTGCCGGAAGTTGATAGGTCATGTGTAATTCGTCGTGGGTCGGATAGGTACCACGAGTGGCAAAACGCATCACGCCAGATTTTTCGACATCCACAGCTGGTCTGGCATCCGATTGAGCGATCTGTCTGTTGACTGAACCCGCCCAGACTGTTGCGAAGACGACGCCGATAACCGCAATTGACGTGTTCGCCAGAATTATTTGATTGATGACGACTGGGTCTACTTCGCGGTAAATGACAATGATCTGGGCGACGGAAAAGAGCGCTGGAATGGTGAAGTTTGAAAGCGCAATCCAAAACAGCGTCTGGAGTCTCATTCTGAACGAAACTAGAGCGGAATAAGTCGAGATCTACGAAAATGCAATTAGAATTTACGCTTGACATTGCCCGTGACGGAACCACTGTGCTTATTTTTCCGCTTTGACCAGAGTGTCCAGAGGAATACAGAAGATGCATATCTAAAATATTTTATACATGAGCTCCAATAAAAGGATGAGAGACATCTACTTCACATGTTATCCACCAGCTGCGCGAACCACTCAATCTTGAGGTATGGAGCTGATACCCACAGGGCTGCCAAAGCTGCTTCCGCATTGGGCCCTTTGGCCGCCCTTATTAGAGCTGCTATAAAGAGAAATAGATTGATGATACGGGCAACTTTGAGTAGTACGGGAAGTGAAACCAACGCCACAAAGCGTTGCCATGCGATACATCTTGGCGGATAAACAGAACAAATGCGAAAGAGTAGGATGGTGTCGACAAAGATGGTTTGGACCGCCCCAAGGGCGCCCATGATTATGTCATAGGAGACGGGGTATGGATGTGTCGGTGATAACATGGTATTGACCTGTAAGGAGATGTTGATTTCTAACACGGCAAGGGGACTTTAAAGATACTTACAGCCCTACTGTCTCCCATTATGCCGACAGAAAATGCGAGGCACACATTCAAAACGTTGAGGATAAATATGGGCTGTTTCCGCGAATGCTCGTTCGAGAAGTAGAACATCGCAATAAGGAGGGGTATGAGTATGACCGTAAAAGTATGCCCGATCATGATGTCGATGAGTGCTGGTTGGATTGCAGCAAGATAGTTGAGACCAGGGGGAGGGGGAACTGACATCGCGATAAACACCCCCCTTGACCCAGTGAAGAGAAATACCTAGACGCTTGCAATGCTTCTGGAGGTAAAAGTTTAGTCCTTATATCCTGGGAGACCCAAGCACTGCAGTATTGCGGGGCAGCTTGATGGCAGCGGAGAAAACCTTTCAATTGGAAATTATCAGCGTTCAAGTGAGGCCGTGACAATGGCCAAGTATTCTTGGCATTATATGACGGAGAACTGCCCAGCCCCGTGGAGAGTCGTCGATGATGTCTTTCTTCTATTGTAATTTGCCTAGGGGAGACTAAGCCTTGATCGTCTATTGTCAGAAACACGTCAGACGAACCTATAAGAATCTGTGGCATGATCAAACAGCAATCTAGTTTCAACACACACAAACGCTAGATACTACGAATGTTGTGCACGTTTTACGAACTGAGTTTCTCGTAGCCTGCCATAGCTAAAGGCCGCATACTATTCTTGGTATCAATTAGCCAAAATAGGCAACATAAAGATTGCATGCAAAGGCTCACATGTGCTGCTTGCACTGGATTGCGGCTGCCGCATACGTGCACATCAATCATGTCCACACTAGCCTTCCGATCTTCCAAGCGGATCTACGCTGTGCACTCCCAGGCGAATTAATCAAGTGATCAGCCAACTTCATTTTCGATTCTCGGAGCCTGCATAGGGTTGCACGATAAGCCGTGAAGCGTCCTTGATCCTGACATTCATGACGGTTCTCCGCCTGTTGTCAGGTCGAACTTGAGGCTGTTCCAAAGCATCAAAAGATAGGGCGACTTGATCCAGCGCCTGTGATTTTCGTACAGGATACAGCAATAACATTATGTCACCACCCTCAATAAGTCTCCCATACCACGTCCGGTACCATCTCCCTCATAACTGCGCGACACATCAGAGCTACACTATCAAAACGAATGCAACTCACGTTTCCAATGTTCAGACGCTTCTTCTTCCTGCCACGTGTTCAGCGTGTTATGCGCATCGGTCAGAACGAACTTTTCTTCCGTGGTCGCGGACCAGATAGAGCTGTCTCCAATTTCGGCGTGATCGATTTCTCGTTTGTCAAGACTGGATAGAATGTGACGGCGAAGATATGAGTGAAGATAGTCCTCTTCGACTGCAGGTCGGAATGTGAGTGGCGTTGGAGATGGAGAACAAAAGAAGACCTATCGCGTGATCGTCAGATTTTGTCAAAGCTTCAATAACGTGTTTGGACTTAGAGAGTCCTGAATCAAAGGGAACTCACAATATTGACGAAATGGGACTGAAACTGTTCCTGGGAGATGGGCTCGACACGGTCATGGAAGGCTCTGCATTGCCCAAAGGCTCGCAGCAGAGTAACCAGTATTGCTCGCGATGACTCGGATGCAAGTTTTCCAGCAAAGTTCTGTCCGAATGACATAAGAGTAATACGGGCGAACGTAATGTCTAAAACTGCTTACCACTGCAACGACACCTTCTGGACTTACGATGGTCTTGAGATCATTCCAAAACTCAATGGAGAACAGATGTTCAGGCACTCCCCCTCCAGAGAAGCAATCATGGACGACAACATCATACTTAATTGCGGAGGGGTCTTCAGCTTCCACCATAGCTCTCCTGCTTCTGACCCACCGTCTCGCGTCCTGCAGAAATACATTATTGATACCGGGATCTGATAGGCCAAAATACCGGCGTGCAGCATCGTACACAGCAGGATCGATTTCAACAATAGTTGTTGCTATGCCATGTTGGGCAAACGCATTTGCAGAGATACCGGTGCCAAGACCGCTGTACGTCAAAGCCGTCACTCTTACTAGAGCATCAACCAGGGTAACCACCTACATTATGAGCGCATGATCGCACTCTCCCTTCCTTCCTTGGGGAGTACTATTGACAAGTCGCACTGCCTCCTGAAGAACGAATGCGCTGTAGATCGAATCTCCTAAAGGAGTACTATCTTGGTCGGTTAACGGAGGAAAACTGTCGAGTGTAGCCACCCGTTCCCCGATCCATACACCTCCCAGTAACGAGTGAGATACTCGAAGGTAACGGATAGAGTGAAGAGGGATCAAGCTCCCGTCGGCCGGAGGTAATATCTCGCCAACCACCACCACACCAGTCTTAGATTGAGTTGAATTTAGGATACGGAGCGGATATGTTGGAATGTTGTATGGTGTTACAATGGAATCTACGAGCGTCGGGGATCGGAGGGCTGGATTGAGACTTAAAAGTGCAGTAAAGACTAGGGGAATGACGCTCAAGGCCACCGCGGATCGAGGGTTTCGAGCATTCAGATGGGGGCTATGTCTGCCCGCATCGACTTTATTCCCACCATACACAGCAAGGCATACACATCCCAATGCAGTGAACTGGATGAATGGACCTATTGATTAGAAGATGCTATAACTGTAATTGCGGCTGCCACGCACAGCAACATTGTTCGAGGCGTCTAACGATAATGCACTGAATACCAACATTAATAGTGGACGAAGTTGTAGCGCATTGGCGGCGAGTACTATGAGGGCCAAAGTAGGCTAGAAAGGTAGTGAATTGGATATTAGCGTAAGGTACATGGGCAACAGTTCTTCCTGGGACAGGCCATGTTGAACTCACATCAACGCTCATCGCCAAAGACATTGAGAAGTACACAACGGGAGCCAATACAAGGGCATGGGTGACGAGAGGACTGTAAATGGGATCCTGGAATCTAGCAGCATAAACACTAATCCAATAAGAGGTATGGGGTGCTAGAAGAAGCAGACAGCCGAGAATCAAGAGGATTTTCGAACTCGAAAGATTTGGGGTAACAACGGCGAGCGCTGTGCTCGTGTGCACGACATGACCTAGGTGTTTTAGAGTCGGGACACTAGCAAACAGCGGGATGACCGAATTTTCGTAGGCAGTCGTAAACAACGAAAGCGCGACGCTCACAGCAAGTATGGAAAGAGAACTCCTCGCGCTCGTCCAAGTCGCCGACTCAGAGTTGGTAGACATACCTAACGTATGTAAGGACGGCACGTTTGAGTCGTTGAGCCTCAGGCGGACGCAACTTGTCTGATTCCCACGCTTCACTAAGTTGCGCTCGAGGAGCTCCGAGGCAACTCCGAGGACTCCTCAGTCCGATACGTTTCTATCTTGTGATATTCCGTGTGTGGATTCCGAGTCTGTCACGCGCTTGCTGCAGAGCACCACTCAACCTCCTAGTGATATCTCTCCTTTGTTTATATCGCAGTGCCCTGTGTGCAACAACATATAAACGCGCTCGCACGGTGAATCATACATATGTCCTGAATCCCCGTGAATGAAGACAGCACAGACCTCCATTCCACCATCCATCGGTTCGCTCACGGACAGCTATACACCACACTGTTCAGAGTGCGATGTCGGCAGGACATTTGAGCGCTATTTTGAAACGACAGCACGACAGCGAACGCAGTTTACAAATATCTTTGATTGTAATTCATCGTCAACGTCCGAAGGTGAATGGTTTGCTTGTGTGTAGTAAGCGAGTGGATCACCGAAGCGGTACAAAGGGAATCCATCGTCAGCGGAGTGGCTTAAAATATGTTTGGTGAGTTTCCATTCATTGTTCGTTATCATATACTGTTACATAAAACGGTTATGCTAGAATGGGTCAGGAGTCTGAATATTCTCCGATCATCATCTCCTTTTGCGCAGAACGACATATAAATGCACAACGGAAAGGGACAGGGTGTCTGTAATATGGATGAGCAAAAGGGAAAAGCCAATATCATTGACGAACATTGCCAGCCCGGTTGTAAACCGTTTCTCCACATCAACATCACGGCCGTCGACGCCCTTCGCCTTCTCTATACGAAAAGTTGCGAGAATAGAAACAATGGCAGCCCACACAGTCGACTCCGCAACAAACCGTCCTGGACCTGTCATAAGTCAACACATTTGTTCTTTGTCTTTCATTGTAAGATGCCTCACAAATTCGTCGGCCTAGGCCAAACACAATGTTGTTCGAGATCGAATCCGACAGCAGTGACCCGTCCGTGGCAAAGTGCCTCTCAGGTCTAAATTCGTCTGGTTCGGGATATTTTCCTCATCTAGATTGATCGCCCTGCACGTGGCCGCAGTCAGATTCAAAACGAGAAGGAAAAAACATTGTGTACCAGATATTGAGGGATACGCATGCACCTGCCAGCATCAGTGAAATCTGTCGCTGAATGTAAATGAATTATGAACACATACCCTTTGGAATCAAGTATCCCTCAAATATATCATCACTTAACGTAGCATGTGGAAGCCCTAAAGGACCAGAGTAAACAAAAAACCTGCTGCTATGGTCATACATACCTAGCGGTAATGCAGGCATCCATCTAAACGTTTCTCTAAGGATAGCCTCGACGTAGGGCAATGAAGGCCTATCTTCGAAACCTGGCAGCCTTGTCGAATCCACGACAGTGTCAATTTCGGCTTGCGCTTTGGCCTGAACTTTTGGGTAGAGAGTCATGGCGAGAATAAATGCTTGCAATGTCGAAGAAGTCTAGATTTTATGTTTCTTAGAATCTAATGAAAGCAGGTGCACCAAGTATACCGTTTCGTATCCACCTGGATGCGCGACAACACTGAGATATTGAAGCGAGTGAAAGAACTCAACGAGCCGCACCTATGAAGACTGTCGCCGCGGTTGCCTTGATTGCGGACTCCTGTGCTTCATGATTGTCCTCGTCTATTTGCATCAAGCAATCGAATACCAAAGATTGTGAAGCAGTTCCGGCTGCCTAAATGTCACGTCAGCTGCAACACTCTGATGACTTGTGAGACTAGTCACAATCTGCGATTTCGTAAACTCGAAAGGCGCATCAAGCACCTTTTGGGCTAACTGCCTTGAATACAACGCCTCACGCTGCAACTTCGCACCCGGAAACCATGCAGGGACATGTACAACTGCGAAAACCTCAGCTATACCTGATGGAATCGATGTCAACTTACGAAAAGGAAATGCTAAGAGAACGGCTGTTCTCTCGGGAGTGAGCTTGTTTGCAAGGGCGTTTAATTCCGAGACGGCAGAAACATATGGGTCGTTCTCTGACTGCACTACGTATCCATACGTAATCCTCATGGCGATTGCTGCAACAAAGCTGCTCAAGCATCAACCTACTGATAAGATGCTATGCATGACCACTAACCTCTGAATATGTACCTTAAAACCCTCAGGGTCGTGCAGCAAGCTAGCAAGAAGGAACCTAGCTCTATGCAAGTAATTCTCACGCTGGCGAAGTGATGATTCTGCATGTAATGCATGATGGAACAGCTTTCTATGGGATCTCAATTCTGCACCATAGGGCAAAAGGGCCGTGAGCCACTCGATACCAAAGCTGTGACAGGACATAAGCTACAGATCGCATGGAATTGAAGAAACACACAATTTCCTGGCCGGAAGGATACTAGGTCTGTCTGAGTAAACAGCAGATCGTTGATCCAATAGTGCGCGTGCAGTTTTCTCTGAGTTGATGACAACCATTTCCTGTCCCATCAATCGAACACGGATCAAGTTACCTGAAATTCAAGATGTTGGGTAAAATCTCTGATCACCAGTGCATGCCAACCCACCATATATCTTTTTCCATGCTGTATACACCAACCAAGGTTCAGTGAGACTTATATGTGTGACATTGCCAATCACAGGGAGGGGCTTTGGGCCGGGAGGGTAAGGCAGTAAGCCACTGTAAGATGCTCTGCGTCTCGCAATAACAAGGGCCAAAATAAGAGCGCTAGCGCCGCCGAAGGCACTGGCAGTAAACAATGACAAGTTTGTCAACATTGTGGATCAGAATCATTGACTGGGCAACTCTAGAAGCGAGTCTTAGCGAGAAGTATAAGTACAAAATGAGCCTTTCCCAATCGCCCAAGTTAGATATCATTCGAATGTAACTTTCACATCGTTCAACATGGCACCAGAACAGAGAATTCCACCTCAGGCATTACTTCTTGGTATCAATAGAGACCTTTGAGGTACTATCATTCCCGGTTATATGCAAAACTTTCAGTAAATCTTTTGTAGCTCCTCAACCACATCACATTTTCTTTTGCAAATTTGCCCCATCATGTATCCGTATCTCTTCTACATGGATCTGATTTTTACTGATTTTTAGGATAATGTGGTGTGGTGTCGGAGCAAACCCGATAAAACTCAGGGTCCACCCACCTCAGGCAGCAGTTCTCAGTACTATTAAAGGTCTGTCAGACCCTATTTTTATGTTAGGAATATCACGATCCTAGGCCTGGTCATATTGTGGACAGGGTTTCTGATGATGATCTAAATTTACAGGCGAATAGTCTCAACAAGGTCATCGATCAGCACTTTCAATCTCCCCGCTTCATAGGCAGCTGCGGTTGCATTTTTGTCCATAGTAAGTGCCTCAGTGATCCCTGGAAAAGTGGTGGCGCCATAGCCTTCGAGTAATGCTAAACCTTTGTTACAGATGAAGAAAGGGATGGCACTAACCTGACCATTTGCCAGGGGCTACACCCAGATGCTTGTACCACTCACGATCCTTAATGCCATCTTTCGATATGAAACTACGTTCAAAGGCTATCAAACGCTTATTCACAGCTTGCACGCGTTGAATAGCTTTGAGAAGGCGTTGACCAGGTTGTCTGAAGGGATTGTCTATGAGCTGTCATCAACCGAGAATGCGAAGAGACTCACTTATGGGAGCGTTCCCTCTCCACATCTTCGTGCTTGTCTTTCGATTCGCACTTGTGCTTTCCAAATATCTTCTTGAGTTTGCAGTAAGCCTTGTGAATCTTGCGACGAATCTTGCGGCAAATAGCATGCTTCTTCTTCAATTGTTTGAGGACCTTACGGAGTTTGTGCTCCGCCTTAGTCTTTGCAGAGTCCAGCTCCAAACTGGCACTCTGTAAAGCGTGAAGGGACCCTCGGAGAGGAGACAGATCGACGTCATAGGAGCCAGCAGCTGCAATAGAAACGACACTGAAGGTCCTCAGTTAACCATAAATCACCTGCAGGGAAGTCAAGCGTGCATACTTGTCGAGGTATGATTCCAACTCAATGGAGTAATGGGTAGTGTTGAACGGTAAAATAATGTCGCCGGACAGACGAAGCACTTGTAGGCCGGTATGTTTGGCAATAGCAATCTACGAATATGAAGGTCATGTGAGTTGGTAGAAAGCCAAGTAGCACTCACGTGACGAGAGAAGCCAGGATCACCGTATAGCTCTTGCCAGTACTGAGAGTCAAAAATCGAGTGATAGTGATACACGGGATCATGTAGCGTCGAGGTGAATCCACCGTCAGTACTTGGCACCTGGTATCATTGGTCAGGTGTAAGTTACGGAAAACATACTTCGCTATCCATTTACTTACACCATGGTATTGCAAGAAGATGGTATAATCACTCCCGGATCCCAAGGGACTCACTCCGATACTATCAACAGCCATAAGTTCATCTTCGTGCATCGCAGCAATTTCCGCATTCATATGCTCGCCGAAAAGCGTTCCAGAGTCTCTGCGAGCGTCCCAAAGGCTTCGTCCCTCAGAGGTAGGGTGGGGAATCTGCTCCGCCGTTTCACGGAGGAGATGCGCAAGTAAGGGAGATCCTGCGGCCTTGAGACGGGACCCTGATACAGAAGTATCTGAACACGAAGGTTGAGGTTAAGTGCACAATGAACGTTGCAAACCAGTCCTTCATACCCATGTTAATGTAAGCCACAACATGATCCTTGATCCACTCCGAGAAATCTTCGCCCCATTCTGTGCTGCCAACCAATCCGAACTACGCAAAATACTTATTTGAGCATGATAAAATCAGTAGAATGAAAGACAGTCTCACTTCTTCACCATCCCAGCTTGTAATGAGGATTGTCCTCAAAGGACGCCATCCTTCCTTTAATAGGACCCCAAAGCCGCGAATTACCTCTGAAAGAGACACAGTGCCTGAGGATGGATCACTCGCTCCTGTTACCCAAGCTGGAAAATATCAATATTTGCGCGGGAATCACAACTGACCGTAAGTACTCACCATCTCGGTGGGCACCTATCACAACTACCTCGTTCTTGACGTGGCCAGGAATAACACCCATTACGTTCCAGATGGGGGTAACCTTTTCGTCCACTATGAAAGAGTGAGAGTCTAGTAATGGAAAATTGAATGCAGTCTCACCGTTATTCACAAGACGGACGGTAGGGCCTTCGTGGCCTTCCTCCAAGTGTTTCAGAAGGACTTCGGCATTGGCCCAGGAAATCGGCAAACTCGGGATGGTCGGCTTGCTTCCCCCCTCAACTCTTGTGCTATTTTCGTAGGAGGGGTATCCGGGGGTTGAGGGATCTCCGGGATACAGAGACAAGAATTGCACGGAACCACGTTGCACGGAAGTTGGGTTGCGCGCAGGCCCGTGTGGGTAGCTGTGCAACAACTCAGAGACATGACTTTGAAGTACGAAATCAGACGCACGGGACATATCCATTTTCAACTGTCACTGTGCCATCATCACGAGGGTCTGAGTAAACCAGAACAGCGGCAGCACCAAGCTCCTGAGCTCGTTTGATCTATTGAAGTCATTTTGGTCAAAATAGACACATGATCAACAGGACTCATGAAGGCGAACCTTTAAACCCCTGAAAATACCACCGTAGCGAGTGAGGACAATCTTTCCACTGAAGTCAACACCTTTGAGTGTAGAACATCAAAAGCAAACTCTCCACGAGGCAGATAATTACGGACCAGCTTCTACGAGCGCATCGAAATCCTTTTGCCTTCCATAGTGTGCATAAATTAGCTTCCCTTCGGCCTGCCCCCCTCTGCTAATGCCATGCCACGTCGGGACGGCATTCGCGGACTGAAAGGCGTAAGGATCAGTTTCATCAGAGACCTCTTCGAGCTCAGCAGACCAAACGGGGTTCCCGTCGTCTCCGAGAATCTCCAGGCTACGATCCAAAGGGCTGTTCAGGATAGGGTAATAAACATCAATCCAAGCCTTGGGTTCGTCAAGGGATGAAATTGATAACGTTGCCTCGCGAGATTCGCGAGAACCGGCTGAGAACAGTGGGATGTCGGAAGATGAGTGATCAATTTGGAACTCTTCCTGTAGGTGCGCAAGGAAGTATCTTGCAGTGTCAAAATCACCTTCGCTCCCGGCCATATGGGGCTTGCCCGCATAGACTCGGGACGCAGTGATGGCACTGTCTGTATCCGGTACGGACCTGGGCAAAGTTAGATTATTCCATATGAATTTGGGAAAGCAGTTACAGTAACTTACAAGAACAGTTGCTCCGCTTTCTTGCCTGTCAGAACACTACCTTTCTTTGGAGCGTGGCGCATCAGTGCATTCAGCATCCCATGATCTTGTCCATCATGTCCATTATGGCGAGTGCGCTTAACATCACTCAAAAGATGGACTGTGTACAGGAAAGCCAGTAAGAGGGCAAGACGGCGCCCCCATTTCTTACGGGGAGAAGTGACAGCTGGTCGGTGTGTAATGGGAACTGGAATGGCCCATTGCGCTGACTTATCGTCGACGTGGAAGGACTTCTCGTCCATGAATGACTATTGAAGTCCTTGCTTTTACGAGGGTTTAGAAAGAACGTTCACGATAAGAGCTGATAAGAGGCGGTGAGAACGACTTCATCTACTTTACTATGTTGGACCCGAAAACCACACTGGGCCCGCCGGCCGCACTGGACGACCAAGTAGTCTATTTATAGACCTGTCATAGTAGTAGACACAAAAACTTGAATTGTATACATGAGTGATGAGTGATATCCATAGATCATAAATGAGTCGTCATTTAAATTCCAACTAGAGCGTTCAAACTTCAGACGCAACTGAATGAGCCGGCTGTTTTATTTCCCCAGTACCACACAAGTTCTGGAGGGTATGTAGATCTGTGATGGTCGATTCAAGTCATATCACAATGCGTTGGATGAGGTCGTACCTGCAACCAATTTTTCCTCCCATTCCACTCCATTGGTGTTGTAGTGAACTTTCCGCCACTTGAAATATTCTCAAATCCGCCGAATTTCTTTTCGTCGCTGGTAAGGACGATATGATATTCCCCTGCTTCATCGACGCCGATGCGATAGTCCGTGAAGGACTTGGTGGGGTGGAAGTTAAAGACAAAAAGAAGGCCAGATCGTTCATAGGCGATCATCTTGTCACCCCCGTGTTTGAGAGAGACGTATGCCTTTTATTGGTATAAGTCAGCTCAATAAATATCTATCTTGTCATATCAGACCCTAACCTGAGGAGCTGAAAGCCATTTGTGCTCTTCTTCCAAGTGGTTTATCGCAGCGTCGAAGTTATTCAGGTATCGGTACCGAAGATTTTGGTCATCTACAATGTTCCACTGTCTCCTGGCATGCTGGAAGGAGTTGTTGTTTCCTTCTCGAGGGAAGTCAAGCCACTGAACAAAGATATGAGAGGACGGTGAGTTTAAGATCTTGGCACTCCTTACTTCTGGGTGTCCAAATTCGTTGCCTTCAAAATTCAGGTAGCCTTCTCCGCCAAGCGAGTGGACCAGGAGACTGCAGTCGTGAGTATTCGTGTACAGCCACAGACAACAAAACCCACCGAATCATTTTGTGCAGAGAAAGACCTCGTGCAATGATAGGCGTCATCGGTGTCAAATCCGACATGTGCGTGTCTGTGGGGGCGTTTGATTTACCTATAATGCACACGATGGAGTGAACCTACACATTTCCTTGTCCATTAACCAGAAAGCCAGAGTCTTATCTCCCACCAGGGCCTGGTCGTGACTTTCAGCGTACGCAACGCTCTTCTCGCCGTATCGTCGGTCTATAAGGGTGTGCACGATATTACCCATATCCCATTCATCATCGGTCTTGTGCTTCAGCAGTTTTATCCACATGTCTGGGATAGCCATGGACAAGCGGTAGTCGAATCCAATACCTCCTTGAGACACGGGGATGCAGAGCAGAGGCATGCCTGAAACATCTTCTGCGATCGTGATAACAGACGGATAAAGAGTATGCATCGCATCATTCGCCTTCAGATTGCTGTTAGCAACGAAAATAATGGCACGCCGATACGACATTTACCAGCATGAGGTACACAATAGCTTCCTCATCAACTCCCGGACCAAAATAATCAGGGTAGCCACCCGAGAAACCCGTTCCGATACCATGATGGATATACATCATACTCGTGACACCGTCAAACCGGAAGCCATCGAACTGGTACTCCTCCATATAGAAGCGAAGATTGCTCAGTAAAAATCTCAGAACTTCGTGGCTCCCATAGTTGAAAAGTCTGCTGTCCCACAGCTCATGACGTCCTTTGCTGCCTTCGTGGAAGTATTGGTGATCCGATCCATCAAATGCGTTAAGGCCATCAAGGACGTTTTTGCAGGCATGCGAGTGTACAACGTCCAGAAGAACAGTTATACCCATGCCGTGTGCGGTGTCGACAAGCTCTCTAAGCTCCTCAGGAGTGCCATACCGAGAGCTTGCGGCGAAGAAGCTGGTTACTTGATAGCCGAAAGCTAGCACGAGGAAGCTCAGGTTGAGGCACGGAACGGTGGCTCATCACGCACATGCATAATAAGGATGCTCCATAATGGCCATTAGCTGGATAGTGTTGTAGCCCAGAGCGTGAATCCTCGGAAGCGTATCTTTCGTGAACTCTTTGTATGTGCCTACGCGATGTTCGCTAGTTGAAATTCCAACATGGGCCTCGTATATTCTTATCGCTCTCGGTTGCGGCGGACGAGAGTTTTTGAACTGATATCTTTCCGAAGGAGAGGGATTCCAGAAACGTCCTTCATAGGCAGGAGAGAAGGTCAAATCTTGGGTGACACGTTGGATCCAAGCAGGGATGCGCTCAATACGAGCACCAGAGGATGTGATCATGGAAATCTGATGAATTTAGAACAAAAAATGTCACTGCGGATCATATACACTCACTTTGACCTTGGAGTCGTGAGGTATCGCGCATACCCCAGGAGCCTCGGAAGGGAGTGTGATTTCCCAAACACCGAATTCATTCTTTTTTTAATGGGTGGGACAACCTATTCCACTGGTCTGAATATAAAATCGACACTTCAATAACGCAAGGCAGCATGAAGGATGGGACTCACTGAAGTCGCCAATGAGATGTGCCTCTGTTACATTTGGTGCCCACTCTCTGTAGACTACTTCACCACTCTCCTTGACGTTGAAACCCATTTTGTCAAAACCTCTGGTGAATTTCTCATACCCGCCCTCATATCGATCGATGGTATCTTTCCACTTCTGAAAGCGCTCGTGGCGGTGAGCGATAGCAGGGATGAACGGCTCAAGGTACCCATCGAGCTTTAACACGGATTGGGGATCAAAGCTAACTGTTGCCGCCATTTTCTGGTGGACTCGCAGACAGAAAAATTTTGCGGGAGATGGGAGAAAATAACAAGGAAGGGACAGGAACAGACGAGTACCGTCTTCCTTCACTCCGTTCAACACCAATCTAGGTGGCAACTCAGATATGGGCTATGACGTCTGCATAATCGCTCAGAAAGGAAAGTCCTGTGGTTCGATGGAGTCTGGACTACGGCTGACATACTCGTCCATAGCGTTTAAAATTAGAGTGTACAATTGCTGGGTATACTGTGACAGAAAATAAAATCGATTGTACAGCTCATGGTTTCATCCAACCTTTCTGAACTCCATACAACACAACTTCCCCTGCCGTCCTTGGACCAGAGGGTGGCACACACATTTTCCGCTTCCCCTTCCGGCCCCTCTTTGCCGCAATAATGCAGTCACCTAATAGCTTATCGATCTCCACTAGAGAATCATAACATTCTTGTTCATCGTACCCTGTCAAGGATGCCACTTGTGTAGTCTCAACCGTGCTTTTTTTTCTCGTGGCAGGAGGCTTCAGTCGCTTTGAGTGTAAGAGCTTCTGTGTAAGGTAGTGAAGCCACTGGTTTGGGTGAGCATTATATACAAGCAATGGGGATACAGCTCCTACCATGACATTTGTAAAAGGCTGATAGCCTTTCCAAGAGTTGCCATTATACTCTTTCATCATCCTGTAGACGTCAAATTGGTAATCTCCTGCCGGTACCAGTCAGCAAAGCGCATGTCCCAGGAGTATGTAAGACACCAACCTTCCCCTTCGAAAATTTCTTCATCAAACGGTGTCCAATACGTCTCGGAACCTTGAGCATCTGTGGTTTCCATCCTCGAAAGCCCAAGATCTATGACAGTCGCCTTGACGCCGAATCGAACATCATCCATGCGGAGCCTTCTCCCTGCTTTTTTCGACGACAATGTCCGAACGGGTACATTCTTCACCAATATTTGGCCCCAGTGTAAATCACGATGCTATTTATTCACGTCAGCCATGACATCATTTATGGGAAAGAATCTCACTTCGAACGCCATAAGGTCTTCCGCTTGATCCAGAGCCGTGGCTATCTGCCAGAAGATACTGCATGCTTGGTGCCAGCCAGACCTTGCGGCATTTTTGAATGTGAAGGCTTCAAGATCTGGGCCACCATTTGGCAGGACAATGATTGCGTAGACCTGTACAAGGCCAAAAGAGTCTAAATAACAGTTATAACAATTGTGTTTGTCCATGTTCATGTGCTTCCTACCTGGTCTCATACTCTCGGAACCCTTGCGCTCGTTATACTCATCCCAAAGATCAAGAAGCAGCGAAGGATAACGCCCACGGACGACGTATGTCCTGAAAAGCTTGATAAAGCCACTGCTCATCTCTCCCATCGCTCGAGTGACAATAACTTCCTTCAAAACATCACTCGCGTCGCTCGGTGCGGGAGTTTCCAAGTCGTTTGTGATACGTTGATCCTCATCTCGCAAGGGGATGATCTTAAGAACTACGTCACCGATGCCAAAAACCTCGGAAAACGAGGCCTCGCCAATTTTGCGAAATTTGACGTCCAGGTCATCTCCTTCCGCAGGCTGTACGATTGGATCGAATGGGAATGTCTCTATGAAAGCAGAGAATTCATGCGGACACGTCTGAGAGCACTCTGATAGGAGCGGGATTAGATAATCCGGTTGTGGGGATAGTAAATCTTCGAATTCAGTCGCGTCCGAGATGTTGAGTTGCTCCAGTTCGAGGGAAAGGTCTGCATCAGTGGGAGTGGAAGGTGTGGGGAAGAAACGCTGGAACGGTGCTCGACTTTGTCCTCGGCGTATAGGTGTCAGCTGTCGTATTTTCGTTGTTGGCGGGGCGAGAGGGACGAACACTGGTGGTTGCTGTTGGGGTAAAGGTGGGGGCAATGGTAGAAGTGGTGACGGTTTCTGGAGGACTGTAGGTGGCTTGTGGGATGATGATAGCTTATAAGGCGCAGGGGGAACCACAACCTCGAGAAATGAAGACTGTCGTTTGGAAAAAGTAGCTGTCGGCTCTTCGCATTTGGGTGAATGTTCATCGTCATCAGAGGATATGACGATCACCGATCGCATGCGACCAATGCGGTTCTTCGCTACCACAGTTACTTCCTCCGCATCAGAGTCACTGTCGCTGATGGCGATGATTGCGGGTGTCTTGGGTGCTCCCTTGCCAACTCTCGGAGCTGCAACAGTCACAGGGTTTATCTGGACATCAGTCCGTGATATCCGCCGTTCCTGACTGAGCCTCTTGCCATCGTCATCGAGTACTATGATGTCAAGAGTCACGATTGGAGATGTAGGCTTCAGCGCAGCCCGTGGCGATGACTTGACTGGCGCTTTGCCCTTCTTCCTTGCGAGTGCTGAAGGTGGTAGAGTCGTAGGCGACACACCGTTCGTGCGCAGAGGTGTAAGCGGTTGACGCACAGGGGTCTGCGCTTCAAATTTTGAAAGCGCAGTCTTCTTTTTTGGCTTGACTGCTGGCTTGACCTGAGCCTTCTTCTTGAATGGGCCAAGCGGGGATTTGGTAGGTGAGACATGTGCTCGTTTGGATTTCCCGTGCACCCGATGGCGAGGAGAACGAGATAGGTAGATAGCATTTTCTCTCCGAACTTGCCTACTAGGAGCTGCCGGGTTGCGTACTGTCTTGACGGGTGAATCAAAGGCATCCGACTCATTCCTCTCAACGACATTCACAATCCGGTGACCACGGCGCCCATAGGCAAAGACTTGCTTAGTTCTTGCACTAAGCATGAGTATGATAAGACAGACGATAAAGCTGAGAAATGTGGTCGACAGGATGGTAGATGATGTGAGGACTGAAGAGATCTGAGTTGTAATGCAAGTGAGCGTGTTCGACTTTTCGGTTCAGACGCGTCTTGATCACGTGCGCAAACGCGTCAAGAAAGCAAAGCTGGCTAAAGTCTGCTAAACAGTTGTGACCGCCTGACCTCATCCACATCTTTTGTGTGTTTCCGATGGCATTGCCACAATCTTTAAGAACATCCGTGACTCCACTAGAGCTTGAACTCATTGCCTCCGAGCACCTCGTCGAGATTGTCCCCTTGATCACAATGGAAAAAACAGCATTCATTTCGGTACGCATTGAGGCGGATTTCCGTAGCAGTACCCACAAATGGTCGTACTCACATAGGGCGCATATGGACCACTACGTCCGCCAGCAAAATGTCGCATACCCCTTTGGATGGCCACTAATCTGAAGCTGAAGAAGAAATGCCATATCGTACCCCCGGAATGGCTCAGTGTAGGTTTGTGTACAGCCTTTCTTTGCTAATTACACACTTACTGGTGTACCATCTTCTAGATTTTTTGCAGGAACGTCTAACAAGAGAAACGAGTCGGCCGGAATTTAGCAAGCTGCCTTTCCGTTTTGCAGAGATAGCCAAGGTCATTCTTGATGTGTTAGCCACACTTTTATCTATTTGGTGGCAATATCTGACTTTCATCAAGTGCCTCAGATGATGTGCAGAATGCGGATAAAATCAAGTCATTACTGAAAGATCTTCGCGAAGCTCGACAAGCTAAAAGTCGCGATGGTTTGCAAAAATTAGATCACAGCGAGCTCAGCGTACGTTCTATTTGGTTGTTACATCGCGTGTTCCTCATTGTTATGCAGTTGCCGAACCTGTGTTCTATGGAAATCAACGAGATTCGACCTTTTTTCATACAAGCCATGGGAATACTAACACAGCTTGTCAGAGAACCTTCTGCTGAGTAGCACTTGTCCTCAGTCGCGGAAAACTGGTGTGTATATTTATCTGATCTCTCTGATTTGTTTGATGTCTTAGTTTAATATATTCTATCCCGCATCGTGAATGTCGCAGCCTGCAGCCCATCAACTCAGTGAGGGCGCACTTCAAGAGAGGATCTATTTGGACTATTTACTGTTGCTGCGAGACTACAGCGACGGAGGACAGGTCTCACAGATCGCCGCAAAGCAACGGCATACTAGCTAGCCTAGAGCCTGACGTACGTGAGGCGTCGCTGAACAGTGCACTGATCATACGAGAAGATGACAATACAACGTACATGGTATCAGTCTAGCTTATTTCTTCTCGCTGCTGTTGTCGCGCTTCCACTGTCAACGGTCACCCTCGTGGGAACTTGGGACGCCCGCCGCGGTGGCGAACCAAGGCTAAATCGATTGGGAGGCAATGCACCAGTCCTGCTAACAGCGTGGACTCCTCCAGGCGTGTGAAGAGGTACATGGTAGACTGTTGGTGATGAAGGCGCAGGCGAACTTTCCCGACGTGTGGGATTGGGGGTATGGGGAGCTATCAGCCCATCCGTTGCTTCACGCCTGAATGCCCTGGGAAGAAACGGAATGAGACCGAACATCGCCTTGAATAGAGACGAGTTTGAATGAGGCCCTAACGTTCGCAAGGTAGCGGTCGGCGTGCTGGGTATGCCTAAGTTTACAACCAGATCTGAGTATATGGCATCAACGAAGCGTAAGGGGATGCTTACTAGATGATGTAGGCAGGGCGTGGTCATTCGCACTCAAACTCAAGAAGAGGAAGAGCGGGACGAGCCAAACGCAGACCCCGAAGAAGGTCGCAATATCCGAGAATCCAGGTACTGTAGAATGTGTCGGAGTACGATATAGATGTGACACCTGCCTTGCGTCCCGTGTGAGGTGCGAGAAGTAGAAGAACCAAATGAAGTGATCCGAGATTGCAAAAATACAGGATGCAATAAAGGACAAGGACGAGAGCGATATAAGTGGCCAGGTGCTGGAGAAGTTCTGCAGGTAGATGACGTGGCAGACTATAGAGAAAAGTGTCTGTGCTAGGGGGAGGGAGTCTGAAATATAGAGTGCAATGTGCAACACTATTATTGCCTTCTCTCCATGTAAGATACTTGCTTTGGTTTAGAAAATGAATTCACGAACATATGTCCCCCGCTGTCCAATGATCTTAGCAAGACGTGAATGCTCCTCTATTAGCTCGGAGACATACAGCAGACCGCTAGCTGGAGCTCTAGGTAAGAAACGGGCAAGCACGAAGGTGACAGGAAGTATTACGAACCAAGTGAAAGTGTCATAAATGCCAAAGCAGCAACCATAGCAGCATAACTGTATGAAAGTGATCGTTCAATTTC